GAAGTCAGCGTCGGAACGGTACTTCGATAAGGCTATGCGTCATGATAATCGCCTTATCGTAGCCGCCGCTGACTACTCCCCGAATCCTGATCATGCAGGAGCCAGTCACCGTCGACGCCCTAGACACGTCCTTACGGATCCATCAGATCCAATAACCTTTGCACTAGACGCCTTCAGCTCTAGGAGCAGGCTTAGGGACCTCGGTAACCGTACTCGTCGAACTCGACAAAGAGTTCGCCGTGCAACCTAACCCATGAATCAGCTCGCTGAGTTTCTCGCCGGATCTTCTCAGCGGGTCGCGATTCCGATCCGGTAGTAGATTCATTCGCGAAGCAGCTACTCTTGACTTGTTAGGTCTCCTTCGGAGGCGCTCGGGTAGCTGTTAGCAAAACCCACCCCTCCTGGCTGAGCCTTTGCTCGCCCACCTGTCCTGGTGAAACTGGAAAGGCCTCCGGGCCACCAGTAATCCTTCAATCATAAAAAAAAACAAAAAAAACAAAAAAATCGCGACCCACTCAGGAAGATCCGGCGAGAAACTCAGTGAGCTGTGTCCTTGGGTTAGTTCACTCGTCGAAGTCTTCGTCGTAGTCGACAAACTCTACGTGGACTGTGACCGGTGCTTGAGGGTCCTAACAGCACCGAGAGTGAATCCGGGGGACCCGACAAGACATGTTTCACGCGACGCACGGCAGCTTTGAATTGCCTCGTCGCGGACGGATAATTATTTCTGTCGTGAAGCGTTTTTACTGGTGGTAGGACTTCTTGCGTTTCGGTTTGAAGGGTGGGGCAGCCGTTGTAATTATACTGAGACCTTAGAACTTTTATCTCAAGGTGGGTAGCGCATTTACGTTGTAGATGTCTATGGCCTCCAGTACTCACTTAGCACTAGGTGGGCTGTGAGCTCGTCCACCCATCTAAGTAATAAAAAAAGACTGTTTTGAAAATTTTATGATACCATTTGAAAAAGTCAACGACTTTTCATTGAGACAACGACTCTCGTAGTAGCTGTTTGTTCATAATACATAAGAATTTATTGCAAAAATAATTGCTACATAAATCGCGATAAATTAATTGTCTATAAAACGTTGTATCTTAATTAGTTTTATATTGTATAAAAAATAATTAACAATGCAATTATAAAAAAAAAATTAAATCATAATTTCTTTCATCGTAAAATGTTTATGATTAAAACGATGTTGTTTTGTTTATTTAATTAATGCTGTTTTTTTATAACGTAACCGTTGAACCAAAACATTTATAAGGAATAATGATAGCGTTTTAGTAAAAGCTACAAATCGCTCTAAGCCATTATGGAATATCAGCAACCGAAACAGCATACCCGATGCTGTGGACCGAATGGTAAATAGTCGACGTCGCCCTAAACACTCCATTACGGATATATATTTTTTTATTTTTTTTATTGCATATATGTGTGGACGAGCTCACAGCCCACCTGGTGTTAAGTGGTTACTGGAACCCATAGACATCTACAACATAAATGCGCTACACACCTTGAGATATAAGTTCTAAGGTCTCAGTATAGTTACAACGGCTGCCCCGCCCTTCAAATCGAAACGCATTACTGCTTCACGGCAGAAATAGGCGGGGCGGTGGTATCTACCCGTGCGGACTCACAAGAGGTCCTACCACCAGTAAAATCGAGATTCTTCAGAGGCATTAACGGTGCTTTTAGGTACCTCAAGCACCGGTTACCGTCCTCGCCGAGCCCTTGCGAGCGACGGGTTAAATTAACCCTCAGACACAACCTAGGTACTGAGTTTCTCGCTGGATCTTCTCAGTGGGTCGCGTTTCCGATCCGGTGCTAGATTCTGCGAAGCACGGCTCTTACCTGGGTTCGTGTTAGCAACACCGCCGGCTTATAATCTTTCGAGCTCACCTACACGTTCTTTCCTAAAATGATTCTTTCCACCTTGTCTGGAAGAGATCGCTCTTAGTGATAAGACCGCCCGTTATTTTTTGTATTTGTGTTTATTTAGATGTATAATAAGTATGCTACAATAAGTGTCTATTACTCTTTGATTTAGTCATTAATTGAAATATGATATGTATTTATGTATGTATGTATATGAGATGTATGGAAATGGTAGTGCAAGGTAGAGGGGGAAGAGGTCGACCGAAGAAGACATGGATGGAGTGTGTGAATGACGATATGAGAGAGAGAGGAGTGAGTGTTGAGATGACGGCTGATTAGAAGAGAATGGAAGAGAAAAATTAGCTGTGCCGACCCCACCTAGTGGGATAAAGTGGAGAAAAAGAAGAAGATTAATTGAAATATTTATTTTTTTCGTAGCATCTCATACTGTTCGGCTGACGTGGCGAATTCTCGAGTTTTCGCTGTTGTAGAGGGAGCGAAGGGAAATGATGAGAACGATTCACATATCGTCCATGTGTTCGTTTGCTCTCAAAGGAAACAAGCACGCGCTCTCGCTCTGTCCCTGGCACACGCTTTCAATGACGCGTATCAGGTAATTTTTAATTATATTTAATTATATTTAATTATTTAATACCCATATTGATTCCTGAGATGGGTAGGTGAGGTCACGACCCACCTGGTGTTAAGTGGTTACCGGACCCCATAGACATCTACAACGTAAATGCCGCCATCCACCTCGAGATATGACATGTTCTAAGATCACAGTTTTTACAGTACAACCGCTGCCGCCCATCCTTCAAAGCTTATTGCAAACATTATTGCTTCACTGCAGAAATAGGCAGGGTAGTGATACCTAATCTTGCGGACTCGCAAGACATCCTTTCACCAGTATTTGAAATATTAGATAGTGTCATTATATCGATTAATATTAGATAGTGTCATTCATTTTTAATCATAGTTGTTATAAGTACATACTAAGTGAAGCTTCTCAAATAAACGATTTGAAAAAAAAGTTTTGGTATTAAGAAAGTCTCCTTTTAAAGTCTGGCAACATTTATTTCAGTTATGGCAAGCTAATCAGGCTGGCTCTATGAATTCAAACGCGAAACGGACAGCACCTTGGGTGAGTTTTTATTATTATTAATCACTCATTCGTATACTTTAAGGTCCTAGAGATTACTTTTTTCCTACCTATTTAGTAACTTCGTTATTTTAGATATTTTAGATTCACCAAACTAGTAGGTGAGCTCGCGGGGCTCAAGCCTGACTTTGTTGCTAACACGAACCCTAGCAAGAGCCGTGCTTCGCAGAATCTACCGCCGGATCGGAAACGCGGCCCACTGAGAAAATCCGGCGAGAAACTCAGTGGGCTGTGTCTGTGGGTTAATTTACTCGCCGAGCCCTTCGTCGCAAGTGGACGGGTTCGACGAGAACGAAGACCGGTGCTTGGGGTACCTAAAAGCACCGTTAGTGGATCGGGAGGAGCCGAAAGGACGTGTTTTGGACGATGTTGACTGTTTACCATTTGGTCCGCAGGATCGCACTAATGATGTTTGTGACAAAGGAATATTTTATGTTCAATTACCATAATTCAACGAGTTTCTGGTCTGATTGCACATTTGACATGTTAGATCTCCTTCAGTGGCGCTCGGGCAGTTAGGAAGCGACTCTCGATTGAGTCTTCAAGTTCTACCACCGGTCCAAAACGAAATTCCTACGTGAAATAAGAAGTGGCTCCATCCCATAAAAAGAAATCACCCAAGTTTATATTTCTAGGTCCGATTCCAGGAAGAATCAGACGAAGAGATTGACGAAGAAGATTGGCGGTCACCGGCTCCGCTTGTCACTTTCGCCTGAGTTTCCTAATGATTTCCCAATGCGCTTTGAATCATTATCTTATTTATTATTTTAAAAAAATTATATATATGCCATCATAGCTTAATTGTGTTTAGTTAAGGTAATACATATCTAATTAGGAGGTTTAGAATTTTAGAAGATTTAGATGTGTAATTATGAAGCTTTCAGTGTGCCTATTTGAACTTTAGGCTATGATACGAATATACAACACAAATGAGATCAATCAGGTATGTTTCAAGGTGGGCTGTGGCGTTTGAGTTGAGATGAGTAGTGCGTCGTGATTTTGGGCTCCGGTTCTCACTTAACTTCTCCTTATGGGCTCGTTTTCCCATAAAAATGTCTCCTTCAGTGTGTTCTTAGTGTGAGGTTTTCAATTTCTCGATCGTGTAAAAGTTAACTCAAATTTGTATGGAGTTGGGACAGCGCCCCTGGCGGCAAACCTCGCACTAAGCACACTGATTCGCTATGAATAGGGCATATTGAAACACAGATTATTTAAAAAACATTATTTCCTATTTTACTTCTACATATTTGTCTATGATATTTTAATGTTGCTAGATTTATAAAATTATTAAATTTATTCGAATCAATTCAAAATAAAAACAATGAACATCTTTTTACTTAGTATATATAATTAAGGGATTATCAGAAAGTAGTCAAATTTAATGTTGATGAAAGAACCATTCTTTCGATGTACGCTATTTATGTGTTAAATAAATATGAGGAGGGTATATTTAGGTTAGTGTTAAGTAAATTTATTTGTAAAGTTAATTTAAGTTCATACTAGACGAAGATTACAAAATGTAGATCTAATTTGACTGATGCTCGAAAATAAATTTTTCATATTTAATTATGTATGTTGTTTATTTTTTTTTTCTCGCAAAACAACGAAAATAGTATTTAAATTATACATAATTATTTAATTATTTAATATAATAATATGATGAATTTCAATAATTAATGAATGAGTCAAATCAATGAAAATAAGTTAATTATTTATTATATTGATATAATGAATTTATAGTTTGTACAGTGTATAGATTTATACTAAACGAGAATGTGGGTTGTGGTTAAAATCGACATTGTTGGTAGTGCGCGAGCCATTTTAGACCCTGTGGGCTTAGGAATAGGGGCTCGGAGCAAGCGCGCCCTCCGTGGAAGTTGATCATCATGTAATCGAAGCAATTAGTCACGCCGTTACCGTTGCAGTCCTGAAAATAATGAAATTTTATTGGTGGTAGGACCTTATGTGAGTCCGCGCGGGTAGGTACCACCACCCTGCCTATTTCTGTCGTGAAGCAATAATGCGTTTCGGTTTGAAGGGTGGGGCAGCCGTTGTAACTATACTGAGATCTTAGAACTTATATCTCAAGGTGGGTGGCACGTTTACGCTGTAGATGTCTATGGGCTTAAGTAACCACTTAACACCAGGTGGGCTGTGAGTTCGTCCAACCATCTAAGCAATACAAAAAATATATTTTTCAACCGTCAGTGACAGGAGTTTACAACTTTTACAAATTATAGGTTATAAAATAAATTTATGTGTGCTTATTGCGAGTTTTTTAACGTTCTCGATAGCGTAAAAGTTAACTCAAAGTTGGAACAGCGCCCCTAGCGGCAAACGTTCTAATCACACTGGTATCAAAGAATCGAACTAGGTATATAGGATATTTTGTAAATATGCGTAATTCCTGACGGAAATGCGTACTGTGGATACCTTAAGTAATGTTTTTTGTTTAATTTTTAAATGAGTGAACGAATTCATCACGGCCCTAATGGTGTTAAATGGTTACCGGAGCCCATAGACATCAACAATGTAAAGGCCGTCACCCACCTTGAGACATGAGTTCTAAATCTCAGTTTTATAGTACAACGGCTGCCCCATCCATCAAAGGCAATACTGCTTCGCTGTTGTAATATACAGGGTAGTGGTACTGACCCGTGCGGGCTTAACAGATGATCTAACATCAGTAATAAACATTATAGTTGTTGTGGTTTCTGTGTAATATAATTGGTATTCAGTCCTTCGATATTGTCCTTCTTCAAACGAGGCCTGTGGAGAGTACTTTACGGTAGGCAGCGGGTTGGCTCTGCCCCTGGCATTGCTGACGTCTATGGGCGACGGTAACCACTCACCATCAGGTGGGCCGTATGCCCATCTGCCTACAAGGGCAATAAATATAAAAAATATACATACAGTTTTTTTTTTTATTTCGGACGATTATTTATCCACCTCCAACATTATTGGATTTATTATTAGATTTATATGTACTATATTATACCGAAAACGAAAACTAAATGTTATTAAGCGTACTCGTGAATGCATTGTTTGAGAATTCCCCTTGGAGACTTGAACACGTCAGCGCCTGTTTGGTAAGATAGTTAATTTTTTTTTTTTATTAATGGCAACTATTGTACATGTGCGCATTCTTTATCTCAAATATATACCTAATAGTGGATATTTGTTTCTTTTCTTTTCTTTATTCTTTATTTGTACACACTGTTAATAAAATACAGTAATTGGGATAAGATATAAAAAATGGCGAGCTTAACTCAACAATTGAGTTATCTACCAGCTAACCGTTCTCAAAGAAGGAAAGCTTTACATTAGTGGGTAGATGAGTACAATCTAATTAGCAATAAAAATAACAAAAATAAACACTAATACATAATNCAGCTAACCGTTCTCAAAGAAGGAAAGCTTTACATTAGTGGGTAGATGAGTACAATCTAATTAGCAATAAAAATAACAAAAATAAACACTAATACATAATATCAAACTATATACATACACAATTACACACATAAATAACATAAACATATACATACACGTACATATATAATGAAATACATAAAATAAATACATATAAGTAATACTAAATTTGTTATTTGTAAATAATCCAGTTTACCTTTCCGAACTTAGCCATGTAGCTCTCGACTATTCTAATGGAGCAGTTGTAGTCTCTTGCGCAATCTTCGAATGCTGAAAGTTTCACAAATGAAAATAATATTATATATTATATAATTTGTGTTGCGTAGCTACGTTTAGCCAAATTGCGATTGTTATATACACCTACTAAAAGTTGTTTACGAGTTTTGAGTATGTTGCTCTAATTGCATTAACAGGAGCCTTAAGGAACGTCGAAGTATCGTCGCTCATTTATAGGAAATGGGACTTCGATATCAAATATCTCACTAGTGGTCGGACCTCTTGTAAATTCACACGGGTAGGTACCACCACCCTACCTATTTTCGCCGTGAAGCAGTAATGCGTTTCGGTTTGAAGGGTGGGGCAGCCGTTGTAACTATACTTGAGACCTTACAACTTATATTTCAAGGTGGGTGGCGCATTTACATCGTAGATGTCTATGGGCTCCAGTAACCACTTAACACCAGGTGGGCTGTGAGTTTATCTACCCATCTAAGCAATAAAAAAAATCTTCCTACCTTCCTTCCGATTGGGGTCATCATCAGGCAGCGTCGGTTTCCCAGCGTCCACCCAGTACACCCTCGAGATGTAAAATGGCCCGCAGTAACCGTCCGTGCATTTGTGAGACAGATCGCAGCCGGTAACGTGACACAAGCATCGGATACAAGAGCTGTTTAGGTTTGAAATACGTAATCCTGTGCAATAAGAGAAAAGCGGGCAGTTATTGAAATTAATCCCACTGAGTTTCGCGCCGGATCTTCTCAGTGGGTCGCGTTTCCGATCCGGTGGTAGATTCTGCGAAGCGCTGCTCTTACTAGGGTCAGTGTTCACTCCGGTTTGAGCCCCATGAGCTCATCTACTAGCTAAAGTTACGCTGAAATAGTCTCTCAAGGCTATCAGCTTAGGTAGGAAAAAAAAATTGAATTCTACTGATATATTGATCTATATTCATATCATTATTTGACTCATTTGATCATTTTATTCATTGACTTTGATCTCATGTCTAATCAACATCACGTTGTGATGTCTAAGGGCTCCAATATCCACTTGAACATGAATTGATTAGTTTTATTTCATCCCCACTCACTAGAAGCACTGTCTCTATTCACAGAGCGTTTTCCGAGATCTTTTTTGCAACCTCTGGATTGGATTTTCGCGGTGTGTGTAATTCTTCGAATGAGGTCTTAAAAGTGCTCAACGATGAGTATTGGTTTAGCATTGACGACTTCGACAGTTACCGCTGAACATAAAATAGGGAGTAACTCATCGTTTTTGATTATTGTCGCTGTAAGCAGCCGATCATACGGTCCACCTGATGACGGCAGTAATGCTATGGGTAGAGCCAAGCCGCTTTTTTTTATTGCTTAGATGGGTGTACGAGCTCACAGCCCACCTGGTGATAAGTGGTTACTGGAGCCCATAGACATCTAGAACGTAAATGCGTCACCCACCTTGAGATATAAGTTCTAAGGTCTCAAGTACCTACCGTTAAGTAGGTACTATACACAAGCCTCATTTGAATCGAAGCAGAAAATATCATAGCGCTCGGGAAATACGTCAAAGGGGAGCTTATTCTAAATCCAGATGGTATGTGACTAAAAAGATCTCTAGAAACGCACTGTTAACATTTGTGACATCTAGTATTTACATTATTTTTAATTTGAAATATAAGCCTTAGGAAAAATCTGTACTGAACAACCTTTAAAATTATCATAACTATCTTATATTACGTACCCAAAGCGGAACAAAGTAGACACATAATACCAAACAAATAAAACGGACACATTTCGAAAAACAACAAACCAAAAGGTCACGTAACTTTTATAGACATATTTAAGTGGACAATATTAAATTGTACAGGTCCATACTTTGCGGACGCAAAGCTTAACTGGACCATTCTATTTAAAAATATCGCGGAGCTTAATCTGTTTAATACGTAACATCATTCTTCTTGGAATCGAACACGCAAAAAAAAAACATTGGCAAACAAGCAAAAAAATCGCTTGATGATGCGAGCATCGTTTTTCATTGGAGTCATAAACATCATTCAATTGTATCTTTATATAGAAATGGAATATATAAGCCGTTAATCTGTTTTTAAGTCCGATGAGATATGACGTCGAACAGATCCGGAATAGATCCGGATGCAAAAATAAGCAATCAAGTTTAAATTATAAAAGATTCGGGTGTTCCGTTCCTTATCAAAGCAGAAACAACATATAAAAAAATATAACATAAAAAATGGTGCGCGTGCAATTTGGTACAAGTGAAAGAAGTAAAACTTCTTTTGCGGTGTGTAGTATTGTGGTTTTCTTCATTTTTCATCCTTAAATCAAATTTCTCTTGTGCATGCTGTGTATAAGAGAAACGACCTAGCTCGCTTTGTTCTTTCCCTCTCTCGATGGTCGAGTGGTTCGCGAGACGCTCTGTCTATTTTCTCACTCTCGCTCTTCCTAAATTGTATCTTTTCTCTCTAGCCGTAACGAATCTGTCGCGACGTAAATTTTACTCTTAATTCTTAATTAATATATTTTTCCATTTAAGTCGATATCTATAAGGTCGTCGTGGCCTAACGGATATGACGTCCGATGCATTCGTGTTGAGCGATGCACCGGTGTTCGAGTCTCAGGCGGGTACCAATTTTTCTAATGAAATACGTACTCAACAAATGTTCACGATTGACTTCCACGGTGAAGAAATAACATCGTGTAATAAAAATCAAACCCGCAAAATTATAATTTCCGTAATTACTGGTGGTAGGACCTCTTGTGAGTCCGCGCGGGTGGGTACCACCGACCTGCCTATTTCTGCCGTGAAGCAGTAATGCATTTCGGTTTGAAGGGTGGGGCAGCCGTTGTAACTATAGTAAGACCTTTTTTTTTTTTTTTCCACAGCAGAAAATCGCCGGATCCCCACCCGCGCGGCAGGTGGGGTATGTGGGAGTTGAACCTCACTAAAAACTCCTGCCGCTCACAACCGGCGCCCTACCTCGGACCGGGCCGGAGCCCAGTCGGGGCTATTGAAACGGCGGGACAGGGTTGACGCAGAGCACATTACATCCATCCCACCGTCCCACGGACGCCGGACCGGTGGCCGCCAGCGAAACGACCACCGGTTCCCTCGTTCAGCGGGCCGAGAGCCCGCTTTGATGGCGCCGCGTTACACCTTCCCCCAGAGCGGTCGGGGGAACGCGGTCTACCATCACCCGGCTTCCTATTGCGGGTGAGCGTGCAGAGCACGCCACCCCTCGTCTGGGTCTCTCCCCGCACAAAACGGGTGGGACCCCTAGCTCTTAGGGGGCCAGGTCACGGATACGACCCCGGTCCCGACCCCCTGCTCGGCGGCGGCGGGTTTCTGCGTAGTGAGGAGAGCTTTCCCTCACTCGCCCCGCCGCCTCCTTCTGCGAGATGGTGCACTCGCAGAAGTCGAGCATAGCCTTCCATGACTCATCGCTGCCAAGCATCGACGCCACGACGCCAGGCAGCGACAAGTCAGGTCCTATCTTTGCGACCAGGACACGGCGCTGCACCTCCCAAGCGGGGCAGACAGCGAGCGTATGCTCCGCCGTGTCCAGGTCGTGTCCACAATGGTGACACCTCGTCGTCGGCTCAGCCCCTATCCGGCGCAGGTACTTCCCGAAGCATCCGTGCCCGGTCAGCACCTGCACCAGACGAAAGGTGAGACGTCCTTCGCCACGATTCACCCAGTCATCAAAGACCGGGTAAACTGCCTCGACGGTCCGTAGCCTCCACGTGGGGTTGGCCAATCGCCTCGACCACGACTCGAGCACGGACCGCCGATAGTAAGACCTTAGAACTTATACCTATCTCAAGGTGGGTGGCGCATTTACGTTGTAGATGTCTATGGGCTCCAGTATATAGATTCCGAAGCGGCTGGAACGATTTCGTTTAAGGAAAATTGCCAAGACCAAAGTCAAATTAATGATAGGCCAGCAAAGCGGTGCGGATTTGACTAGTACCTAAATCAGGTGTTAAACGATAAAATCAAATGTATAACGGAACGTAATTTCCGAACGTGCGATACCGCCCCCGCCGCCGCCTTACCCCCCCCGCTGAGACAGAGCTCTTTGAGCGCGAAAACACACGCCCTCAGCGCGCGCGACGACGACCAGTAAAATATTGCGAGTCTTAGTTTAACTGTACGGTTCTCAACTCATTTTGTATTTTATGTTAGTTATTGTGTCGCTTTTATATTAAAACCTCATACCAAATCAGTGTAAACATTATTTCTATATCATCTTCACCAACAGTCCGGAACAACGAACTCACGAAAATTCACAAAAGTCCCGCCAGTCGGACTTGTAGTGTTAAAAATGGCGCCCGAACGTTTAGCTGTGAAGTGATATTTATAAGAAATTATTGTGCCTGCATGAACGATTTGTGTTTTCCTGACTTTACCGACTAAACCGTCGTCAAATAATGCCGCCGAAGAAGATGCCGAATTCCGAGGAGCGCGACGCGAGAGCCGCGTCGTCGCCGCCCCACGCGCCGTCGAGTGACGCGCCGCCCGCCAGTGTTTGCTTCCGCCCGGAAGACATCACCATGCTGATCGACACCCTTCAACGAACGCAGCTAGACGCGTTCCGGGAGCTGTTAGATAGCGTCAGGCAGTCGGCGACTCCTACATTCGACCATCGGCCCGCCAACAACTTCAGCCGCTGCAAATCTGTATTCAGCGGACGCGCAGACGAGTCAGTAGAAGGTTTTATCGACGCAATAGAATCGTACAGAGACGCCGCCAATGTTCCCGATGACGTAGCCGTAAAAGGTATTTCCATGTTGCTGACACACACCGCCGCTACCTGGTGGCAGGGTATCAAGCATCAAGTTTCTACATGGGAAGACGTCATCTCAAATCTACGAAGTGCTTTTGGTGATCGCCGCCCACCCCACAGAATTTATGTCGACCTATTCGCAGACGGCCAGCAGCCTATGGAGAAAACCGACCTGTTTGTCGCCAGGGCTCGAGCACTCCTCGCGAAGCTACCTCGAGGCGACCTATGTGAAAAAGTGGAGCTCGATATGATATACGGATTACTGCATCATAAAATTCGTAAACGCCTTCGTAGAGAGGAAATCACCAGTTTCAATGTTCTCCTGCAAAAAGCACGAAGTATTGAGGATTCTACGAAAGAAGCGCATACTTCAAACGCCGTCGCCGAGACATCAAAGGGTGCCGCCGCCGCCGCCCGCGCTCGACTCGAGCCGCCGCGGCCTGCAACGCAGCGTGTACCTACGGCCGCTGTAGAAGTTTCCCCGCGCCAACGTTCGTCAGGCGATAACGCCGACGCCACTCCGACCGCCGAAAAACCCGAGAAACGTCGATACTGTGTTTATTGTAAAAGTTACGGTCATACGCGTGATCAGTGTCGTAAATTGTTATTAAAACAAACCGCGAATGACAGTAACGATAACGTAGTTAGTAAAGTAAATAATATTAAATGTTACGGTTGCGGCGCGAGCGGAGTCATACGTTCTAATTGTTCCAAATGTAGTTCAAATTTTAGCGCGGTCGATTTTATTCAAATACCGCGAACGCGATCGCGAGGTACAACGACCGCTGAGACATCAGCTGTTGGTAAGCCGTCCGCCCAGGTGAGTAATTTGGCAAGTTTACCTATGGTTTTTACTGGGGCTGTACCTGACTTGTTTTTATCCAGTAGTGTTCATACCGAGCGCCCAAATTATGTTAATTCATCGCTACACACTGCTCAGATAAGTTTGGTATCATGTAATAATGTAAGTACACCCCCCGTAAATAATAATTTTGCCCGTAAATGTAATGTAAACTCGTCCCATAAACGTGTTGATAAACAAATTGTTTCAAATTTGCCGCGTTCCGATGATACGCCTTTGTTTACATACTTATCTCGTCCTGTTAAGCAGGGGGAGTGTTTTAACCGCACTCATGTACCTAGCGAATTGAAATCAGTATCTCCTAGGGAATTTTGTGTTAATCAGTGCGTCGTAAATAATAGACATAAATGGAAAACGAAACTTTCTCGTCAGTGTCCATCACGTGGTCCGTTACCAACTAGGGCGACCATGATTTTTTCAGGACAAAACCAGGAATTCGATAATAAAAGTAGGGTGACCAAAAATTTTTCAGGACATAAACTGGAAATTTATGCACCGGTTAAGGGGACCACAAATTTTAATTGTGATAGTTTTGTCACCCTTTCGTCTGTAACTTCTTCGCAAAATGGCAACGCGCGACGACCTATTTTAGGTATAGAGATTTTAGGAATCCGAGGTAGGGGTTTAATCGACACCGCAGCCAAGCGAACTGTTGCCAGTTCTTCACTCTACGCCTTACTGCAACAGCATAATCAGCCTTTTGTGTCTAGTTCTATGCGTGTTAAGCTCGCCGATGGTTCAATGCAAACACGACAAATGCTGACAACGACACTTGACGTGAAGTTATTACCGTGTAAGATGATTCTCACAGAATTCGTCGTATTCCCGGACGCCCAGGATAATGACACATTATTGGGTGTAGATTTTTTAGTAGCAGCTGGTTTAGCCATTGACTTCGATACTTCGACATGACGCTACCAAGGTTCTGAACGAGTTTTTCCATTGGAGTTCGAGTATCCCAGTGACCTCACGCCTTGTTCTGCTGCTGATTTCTTAAGAGAAGACGAGGGAACTATGCTGTGTCCTCCCGAACGTGACCGCCTAGCTACTCTTCTGCAGTGCAACGAGGATATCTTCAGACCAGGGGGAGACCCAATGCCTTACGCTGAACATCAGGATGATAGGAAGTATCAATCCGACAAAATTCAGTTATCTGGTCCCAGTTACCAAGTAGGTGATCTAGTCCTTCTCTCTACGCACTTGTTAAGTGATGCCGCTAAAGGTAGAACGAAGAAGTTCATGCCTAAGCGTGACGGACCCTACCAGATTAGCAATATCGTTAGTCCTACTACCTATGAGATTACTGATTTGAATTCGCAGGTTTTAGGGAAATTTCATGCTTCTCATTTGAAGCCGTATCATAATCAAACCGGTCAGGTCTCANGTGATCTAGTCCTTCTCTCTACGCACTTGTTAAGTGATGCCGCTAAAGGTAGAACGAAGAAGTTCATGCCTAAGCGTGACGGACCCTACCAGATTAGCAATATCGTTAGTCCTACTACCTATGAGATTACTGATTTGAATTCGCAGGTTTTAGGGAAATTTCATGCTTCTCATTTGAAGCCGTATCATAATCAAACCGGTCAGGTCTCAGCTCCAGTACAGCCTCGACGCCTGCGTGGACGGCCCCGTCTTGTTGTTCTGCCGAGCCACTAACGAGGCGTTCTAGTGACTCGGAGGGGGAGGATATAACGGAACGTAATTTCCGAACGTGCGATACCGCCCCCGCCGCCGCCTTACCCCCCCCGCTGAGACAGAGCTCTTTGAGCGCGAAAACACACGCCCTCAGCGCGCGCGACGACGACCAGTAAAATATTGCGAGTCTTAGTTTAACTGTACGGTTCTCAACTCATTTTGTATTTTATGTTAGTTATTGTGTCGCTTTTATATTAAAACCTCATACCAAATCAGTGTAAACATTATTTCTATATCATCTTCACCAACAGTCCGGAACAACGAACTCACGAAAATTCACAAAAGTCCCGCCAGTCGGACTTGTAGTGTTAAAAATGTAATATTATTTTAGAATTTTATTTCGAACTTACCCGACCGACAATCCACACGTAACCCATTTGTCAAAATTTCGTTTCGTAGAACCTCATATAGATATTTACGAAAGTTTAACATAAAACGGTAGGCAGCGGCTTGGCTCTGCCCCTGGCATTGCCGAAGTCCATGGGCGACGGTAACCACTCACCATCGGCTGGGCCGTATGCTCGTCTGCCTACAAGGGCAATAAAAAAAAAAACAAAAAAAATTGGTCCAGCAATTCTTTTTTTTATTTTTTTTATTTCTTAGATGGTACCTACCCGTGCGGACTCACAAGAGGTCCTACCGCCAGTAATAAATTCATAAGCGATGCGCTCATTGTAAACTTTAAAAGCAAAAACATGATACCAATTATTTCACATTACAACAATTTTACCAGGCGTATTTTTATTGATGATACAACATATCAGAAATATCCCTTTGTCCGCAATTGACTAAAAACTAATTTGACCTCTACAGCTACGCCCACGTCCTTTCTTATAGTTCATTGCGGTTTCAAGTCACGATTTGGAATTCATTAAATTATGAACATGTAAGCTAAGCAGCGTGACTGGGCGCACTTAATACGCTGTGTGTTTGATATTAATTCATAAATGCGACTTCTCTTGAACTTTTATGATCTTATTTAGATCCTGGTTCTATTGTTCGTGTATTATTTATTCTGAGATATAGATAATGTTCAAATAATTGCGGTTGAAGTGTTTAATATTAGGGGGAAAGCTCCTTAATTCAATCTAATCAGAATTGGTAATTTTCGAAAAAAACAATGGCTCGGAGAATAAACAGGATAAAGACAGAATTGGAACACGATAAATCATATTTGTCAGCTCGTGTCGTTCGTTCGTTTAGTTGCCCTTGGTCATTGTCAACGAGTAAAGACTCAGCCAGGGTGTTGTAGCTATGCTTCAATATTTCTCAGCAATAGTTAATAAGATGTTTGTGACGCATGGTATGTTTTATAATTATATTACTGTAGTATTTTTGTCATAGTTGTAATATCGTGAAATAAAATAATTAATGTTCCTCTATTTGTTCGACCAAATTTAAACTGAATTCTTTGTTGACTGACTTGAATTGCGAAATATTTTGTAAAGAACTAACGGATTCCAGTCACGCTCCGTTGATACTATCGATAATTGTATTTATCGATATAATGTATCGAAAGCATATATTTCTTGAGGATAATCACGTGTTGCCTATATTACGTTGATGAAATTAAGATATAAGCCTGTGTGCTTAGTACGAGTTTTTTAACTTTAGTATCGCGATATAAAACCAAAGTGCGCTTGGTGCGGGCACTGATCTTTCCCATATTCCTCTATGGGGCGGAGACATGGTGCATAAAAAGCCGGGATATCAAAAAGATCGATGCCTTTGAAATGTGGGTGTAATGGAGGATGCTACGAATACCGTGGACTGCCATGAGAACAAACGAGTCCATTCTAAGACAGCTAGACATCCGAAAAAGGCTCTCTTCCATCTGCCGGGAACGTGTTATGAGCTTCTTCGGACACATCATGCGGTCTCCCAGACATGAATTAGAGAAGCTCATGATTACGGGTCGCATAGAGGGCAAACGCGCCGTAGACAGAAAACCAGCCAGATGGTCAGATCTAGCAAGAGAAGCACTCGGTGGTAGTCTGTACCATGCAGTCCATGCCACCCATGATCGAGCACATTGGAAGTACGTCGCATGTGGTCGCGATCCTCAGTAGTGAGGGAACGATATAGAAGTAGAATATCGCGTAAAACTGAACTCAAATTTGTATGGAGTTGGAACGTTTGCCTACGTTTGCCGCTAGGGGCGCTGTTCCAACTAAGATTTCGATAGTATGTCTCAAGGTAGGTGGCGTTATTTATGTTGTGATTTTTGTTTGGGACCTATTGTGTACAATAAAATAGAATTTCGCTTGAAATTCAACATTAACTTTAATACTATCAGGTCAGATAACCGTCGTCGTTATTTTCCCTGCAACAGGCTGTTTCCGTCGACTCCCCAGGCATGTCTTGATCCAGCATGATGGAAGTACTTTTTGGAGTTTACTCCTTTAGAATCGATTTACATATATAGGCCCGGGGTATGAAAATTATGGGGACCAAAATCGTACTAGCATGTCACACGAAATGCGTTATGCGCCTGATTGGCTCCTGATTGCGTGATGCGTGCGCGCGCCAATCAGGAGCCAACGCGCGGCCGCGTTATCGCAGGTGACGCCGGGCTGCTGCGCCGGCAGTCCGCCACAAAGCCTCGTACTGATCGCGCGTTTCTCTCATTATTGTATTTTCATATATTTGTTAGTCGTTTGTTTTGTGTCTCGTTAATTTGTTAATAATCTGTAGTGTATCGTGTTGTCGTAATATAGAACTATTTCTCGTATTGTTTCGTTTAATTTTTTATATCCAGTAAACTCCAGTCGTGCGTCGGAGCGGACACACACACTTTTTTTCTCTACCTAATCGTTGGTAGCTTAAGGAACTATTTCTATTGCGCGCGGACTGGTAGGTGAGCTCATGGGCTCAGCATGAGAGAATTTGCTAAGTCTAGTTGTTAAGTATGTGTGCGTGTGCCTACGCATACGGGGTATATCAACAAATAGAGGACAGTGTATTGATAGCAGGCAAGCGTTTCACTCGCGTATCCCTCGTATCTAACACTAGTCCAATTGCTTATTCTTATTTATGTGTAAAGAAGCAAAATTTAATTTTTATTATTTTTTATTTTTAATAATTATTATATTATAATACTTTGTATTAATTGTATGTATATTTACGGAGATATGTATGTGTATATGTATGTGTACATATATGTATATGTATTTCACTGGAATGGTACACCGCGCGTAGTTCGTTTCCAAATAATTCTTGTCCACCTGATGGTTGTCTGGAAGAGATCGCTCTTAGCGATAAGACCGCCAATTGTACTTTTTTTGTTTTTAGTGTATCGCACTGTTTATTTGTTTTTTTTTTGGTGTACAATAAAGAATACTCTCTCTCTCTCTCTCTCTCTCTCTCTCCAAGCAAGAGCAGTGCTTCACAGAATCTACCACCGGGTTCCACAGAGAAAATCCGGCAGAAAACTTTGTGGGTTGCGTCTATGGATTAGGTCGAAGTTTTCATCGCATTCGACAAATTCGACGACTACGGCTACGAAAGGCTAAAAGTATCGTAGAAAGAACGAAGCCTGGCAGGACTCCGGCCGAGACTTGATTATGATGACCACGAAACTATCTGGTACTCCCATGCTTTGTTGTTTGTAAATTAAACCGTTGTGCTTAAGATTTTGTCGAGCACCTTCATGATATCGAAGAAGGAGGCTCTCGTGGGAACGGGTCTTGCACTATTAAGCACTACTTAGATGCGCTCTGTGAAGTCGATCACTTGTTAGACGCACGAGTGCTTGGCTCGGAATCAAAACTGTTCGTCAGTGAGGATGCCTTTTGATATGATAAAGTCCCAGAGGCGCTTATGAATCAGTCGTTCGCATGGTTTGCCTATTTGAGGAGGGGGCTTATCGGACGGTAAAGGAAACCATCAGTGCTTCTAGTTCAAATAAAAAGAATGACCATCACAGGGGCCACCGTACTTGATACAAATAGCCTATAATATAAGTCTGCTGTGTTTTTCATAATATCTTCTCAGCTGGTCATGGTTTCCATCCGGCGGTAGATGCACTCGCGAAGCCTTTCACTGTTGCGTGCAGGGGAGTCGTTTTCTTTTTATTTATTTTTTTATTGCTTAGATGTGTGGACGAGCTCACAGCCCACCTAGTGTTAAGTGGTTACTGGAGCCCATAGACATCTACACGTAAATGCGCCACACACCTTGAGATATAAGTTCTAAGGTCTCAAGTATAGTTACAACGGCTGCCCCACCTTTCAAACCGAAACGCATTACTGCTTCACGGCAGAAATAGGCGGCGCGGTGGTACCTACCCGTGCGGACTCACAAGAGGTCCTACCACGGAGGTAAAGTGAGTGGGCCCTAAAATTCTTGGGTCCGCGGTCTGCTTCCAACACCTTGCAGATCGTCAAGTCCCACATACACCGCGCGCCCCCTAGGCGCGAGGACCTCGCTGGAGGTTCGGCCACCGGCCCGAAAAAAAATAAAAAAAAGGTCTCTTGACGATACTCGGACATTTGTTAGCAAATAGTGGAAAGTCCTCCAGGGCGCCTGAAATTCTTCTGTCTCCAAAAAATGTGTCATTGCTGTCGTGATAAAGATATGTTTTAATTTTTTATATTGTTTATAGGGGCGGACGAGCTCACGGCCCACCTGATGTGAATTGGCTACCGGAGCCCATATCAAATCAAATCAAAAAAAAATTATTCAACATAAATGAAAGTACATACTTGTTGAACGTCAAAAGAACTACCGCCACATATAGACATCCACAACGTAAATGCCGCCACATACCCTGAGTTATGAGTTCTAGGGCCTCCATTTTTACAGTACAATGACTACTCCACCTTTCAAACCGAAACGCATAACTGCTTCACGGCGGAAATAGGCAGGGTGGCAGTACCTATCCGTGCGGACTCACAAGACGTCCTACCACCAATAATTATGCAAATTAAAATTTTGCGGGTTTGATTATTATTACACGATGTTATACCTCCACTGTAGACGTGACTCGTAAACATTTGTTGAGTACGTATTTCATAAGAAAAATTTGTGCTGGTCTATGGGATTCTAGCACCGGTGCATCGCAAGATACGAATGCACCGTCTTATCCTTTAGGCCACGACGACTTCATACTTACTTGTTTGGACTTCTTCGATTTTTTAATTAAAACGATGGGTTTATTCTAAAGACTAGTTTATTCTGATTGTTAAAAAATATATATATTTTTTCTATTAAATTACATTTTCCAATTTGTATTTCGAATACACGAAGAATCCTTTGATGAAAATGCTTTTATATGAACATTATTTATTCCAATTCTAGATGAATTGTAGAGATTCATCGTAAAAATAATATTGGTGCTGATGGAAACTATGACTGACGGATTACCATAAAGCAGTGGTAGGTTACAGTAAATTCGTTAGGTTTTCAATTAGACAAAGCTATTTAAGATCGGTACTGCGCGAAGACATTGATGCACTGGTTAAACACGTTTACATAGTTAAAAGGAAGTTCGCCGGTGCACCCGTAGCCTCCCTTCTTGTGGATCGCCATGTAGTCATAGCAGTTGACCACTCCGTCGCCGTTGCAGTCCTAAAAATATAACAAATATAAATTTTACGATGTTCGTTTTTAAAGATCGCAGATGCGGAGGAAATTCGATAGCAAATACGGAGTCACTAAAGAGTTATCCATAGACACAGCCCACTGAGTTTCTCGCCAGATCGCGTTTCCGATCTAGTGGTAGATGTTGAAGATGTCGCATCTCTTATACACAGTATTCCCTATTACAAGAGCAATCTGATTTAAGGATAAAAGTTAAAAGAAAACCACAATACTACACATCGAAAAAGAAGTTTCACGTGCACAAAGTTGCACGCGCACTTTTTTATTATTTTTAATTAATCATACCCAAATGAGACATCAATGAAACTGTCAAACTTAATTGTCAAACGTACACACGGAAAATGTCTTTCACAATATTGTCATACGTAAAAAAGCGACGGAAATTTTTCTCTAGTCCATATTAAACGCCATATTTTGATTAAAATATTAAATACTTATGCAGGATTCGTAAGATGAAAACAGTGTGGAACGGAGCGTTAGGACGTGAGTAAAAGAAAATGGTAAGAAATGAAAAAGAGAATCACAGACAGAATTACAGAGAAAAGGGAGATGGCGAAGATGGCCGAATGAGCAAGACGTTGTAACTATAGTGAGACCTTACTGGTGGTAGGACCTCTTGTGAGTCCGCACGGGTAGGTACCACCTCCCTGCCTATTTCAGCCGTGAAGCAGTGATGCGTTTCGGTTTAAAGGGTGGGGCAGCCGTTGTAACTATACTGAGACCTTAGAACTTATATCTCAAGGTGTGTGGCGCATTTTCGTTGTAGATGTCTATGGGCTTCAGTAACCACTTAACACCAGGTGGGCTGGGAGCTCGTCCACTCATCTAAGCAATAAAAAAAAAACAAATAATAGATGATTTTGGAACAGTGGATTAGTTTTGTTTTCTAATTCTACAAATATGTGATTCCGATCCCGCATAACGTCATGGACATGATATTTATTATGGAGTTCGAGGTAACCACCATATTGTTATTTGTCGGTGATGTCACCGCACGTATGCTAATTATAACAATTGACAGTCTTCGGTACAATGTATAATATAAAAAGCCTACTGGATCTTCCATACATGAAGTTAATACGAAATATTATTAATCCCATTGTATAGTTTACAAGCCATTGTCCTGAGAAGGATATCAAGTTTAGATATGTAAATGAAGATTATCTATCTTATGCTAAAGATTTAAGCGTCTATTAATTTTGATTCTCGTTTTATTCAATTGTTTGTTCATTGTTTTTCGGTTTTATCTTATCCCCTTATTCTACCAGATGGGGCGCAAGATATTATTCCTTCATTGTACAATTAATTAGTGAAAAAAAAGGCACTTGCCTGCAGGATTCGAACACCATAGTTAGATTTCTCGATACGATTACAACGTATTCCTAATCTTTTAAGGCATAATTATGTACTTTATTAATTATAGAACTTTTATCCCAATCCATTTTAGAATTTATGGTATGGTAAGTTGGTTAAAATGTAGTTACTATTACGAGATTATAGATAACGAAATAACAAAATTTTAATCGTATCTAATTGGTCTTTAGAGACTTTATAAAAAAAGCTAATTCGATATACTAAAAAGTGGATGCAACTTTATGTGTCTCGTGTCGGAAACTTCAATATTATTTAGAACTAATTTACTATAGTAAATAGTAGTATAAAAAAATCTTGGCCCTTCTATAACTGTACCAAGTTTCGAAACTATCGGAAAAATGGCTTAGGAGTCCATAGAGGTGACACAAAAATAGCATTATTATTACAAATTATATTTTTCTGCGAAATTAAAATTTATAATGCGCTTCGTCTTACCTGGCCAAATCTTCTCATGTAGTTTTGGACGGTCTGCGCGGCGCAGTACGGGTCTACAGTGCAGCTAGAGTAGGCTGAAAATAATAATAAAAAAGATTTAAGCACGACCCAATAAAACCTCTTTCGAATTTTTTTTATTAATTATTTAATATCAAATTTTATACATTTTATTATTCATACGAGTGCTCTGTGGTATTAAATTAGGGCAGCGACAAATTATCATCGACTATTTATAAGAAATATAATTTTATAAAAACATTTCGAAGTCGTCGTGGCCTAAAGGATAAGACGCCCGATGCATTCGTATGTAGCGATGCGACGGTGTTCATATCCCGCAGGCGGGTACCAATTTTTCTACTGAAATACGCACTTAACAAATGTTCACAATTGACTTCCACGGCGAAGGAATAGCATGGTATAATAAAAATCCAACCCGCAAAATTATAATTTACGTAATTACTGGTGGTAGGGCCTCTTGTGAGTCCGCACGGGTAGGTACCACCGTCCTGCCTATTTCTGCCGTGAAGCAGTATTACGTTCGGTTTAATGGTGGAGCAGCCGTTGTAACTAACTATACTGAGACCTTTGAACTTATATCTCAAGGTGGGTGACGCATTTACGTTGTAGTTGTCTATAGGCTCCAGTAACTACTTAACACCAGGTGGGCTGTGAGTTCGTCTAACCATATGAGCAATAAAAAAAACAAAAAACAAACATATTAAATTCCAGCAGCCCTAAGCAAGAATTTCTTTGTTATTGCTGAAAACCCACACGAGGCGAGTTGATAAAAAACAATATATATTTTGAATATAAGATATCTTAAAATACGCCAACCAGGGATCAGTCCTGTGATAAGTAGTCAAGGTTATTAACGACCGGACCAACAGGGCAATCGAAATACGAAATAAAGGTCGCGAACCAAAAACACAAACTTACTGGGCAACATTTTTTTTAGTACTCCCGATTCTAAATGTTAATGAAAGCTATTTTGGTAAATCATTTTCACTGTTAGTAAATAGTACTAGTGACGCCAAATTGATAAAATATTGGCTAATTGAAGATTGATCTAGAGCTAAATGTATAAAACACATTTCTTAAATAAAAACACGCGCTGTCATACTACCTAACAAAACAGCGGGAGAGGTGATATTTATGGTACAATGACAAAATAAAACATAAATGTATAATTATTTATTAATGTACATACCTATGTAATGATTTTTATTAATTATTAAGGCTAGGTGAGAAAAGAGTTTCAACATTAGTTTTAATCAAATTCTCGAATGATTTTGAAACGTTTAGAGGAAAAATAGTTTTAAGATTTTTATATAGATTTAAAAAAAACAAAAGAACGTCGAGGAATTTTTGTTTTAGGAATCAAGGTTAGGTGTAAGAAATCGAGTTTTCCATTACATAAAAATTTGTCATCGCTGTTAGAAGTTGACCTTGTCAGGAATTTCGTATATATTATCATTATAGTTAATAGGCTAGGGCTTATGATGTTATTGTTTATGATAATGGAAAAAAAAACGATATTCTGCTTCCATAATTTTCGGGTATTTGCAGTCCTGTCTGGAATATGACCGTGCTCACCACACCGTCTACTCCCGTGGTTGTCGTAAAAGGCAAATAAGAGATTCACCAGAGAATGAGCAGCAGTGTTTCGTGAGGGTACTGTGAAAGCCTATCGGCATTTATTGGTGTTAGGATATGTTATAACTAAGCACAAGGTAGGTACTACTACCATTCTACATATTTACGCCGTTAAGCAGTAACGCGTTCCAATTTTTAGATTGTCATAGACCTCATGCAATTCAATTGAGACTTCGACCTCAAGGTGGCAGAAAGACTAAACAATGAGGTCCAAGTTAGCTCGTTACCGCAAGGCTATCAGCGCGATAATGATTAAATGCCTGTGTCGCAGTAAAAACTTACCATCCGGAGCGTCAGGTGAGAGACCATTGATAGTGGGTTTTCCGGCATCAGCCCAGTAGCCCCATGTGATGCGGAAGAGGCCGCACGTCTCACCCTCGCACTGCAGACCTTGCTTGCATCCAGAGATAGCCTGGCAAATGCAGCCGAGACACACCTCCGTCACAGGGGGGAGTTCCGCTGTAATCAAGAATTCGTAAATGGTACCAGGCATCAAGAATCTTTTGGCTGAAGATAGGCTTATGTTAAAATAAAAAAATCCACCCATTACTCAATATGAGGTCCAAGTTATTGTTGGATATCCTCACAGGGTACTCATTACTCCTTTCTTTCAAACATACACGGCATTTATTACAAACAGTAGCTATCACTCTTAAGGTTTACTAAGTTTTTTATATTTTGTAATTATTAATACCAAGGTCAATGATGAACAGTATTTGAACCAAAAAAAAGAAAATCAATCGATTGAACATTGCAACACCGGACTGAAATGTCAAATAAATTTATTTATTTATCAAAAAAATGTCATTGACTCTCAAACAGCGGTGAGATACGAAGTTCAAAACCTTAATAAAAGTCCTAATAAAAATGATGCCTCAATAAAATAATGCAGTAGGTATACATGATTGTGGTACGCGGCAAACATAACGAAATATTTATGTAAATTGCTTGCTGCTTGCTTGTTTGCTGGCACAGTGACGGATCCGGAGTTCGGGTCAAGGCCCAGACTACTCAAGGTTTTTTTTCTCCAAAGAAATTTGTCTTTTATGCTATGGAGTTTTAACTCGAGTGCACATTGTAAGTCTGATTCGCCCACGCAGGGTTAAGTATCTGTTAAAAAATGTCTGCCGCGAATCGATAATGCGTTTTATTCTGATAGTTGGAACAAGTGTATACAGAAAACCAAACCAATACTGTTTTCACATGGTTCGTGGTACATAGAGGCACTGTATGTCGTTAGGGTGTCAATGACCTGAAAATGTTCTGCGCAAAGAGTTACCCCTATCTTAACCAATACGTTTCACGTAATTCCCTACTGAAATCATTTTTTAAAATAGATTACAGAATTCTTTGAAGTTACCGGAACTCGCGAAATGTAATAGACAAGTCCGTTTGGTTTTTACCGTGATTTTAATAGTGTTCTATTACGAAATCGGCAAGAGCTTCCTCTTTGTGAGTGGCCTGGCATAGACATTTGTAACTATTGTTTCAATGACAGGTCATGCGTCAGTCAGTGAGTCATCGCGTGCAAGTTTAAAAAAAACTTAACAAAAGATGCTGCTGATTTGAAAACGAAAATTTATGCAAATTTATAAAAGGAATATTGTATTTGTCGATGTTTTAATGGATTCAATTATGAAGTTGTTTCCATTGACATTGACTGCACACATCAGTTATGTAGCATCAGTGCATTTATCTGCAAGTAAGATAACCCGGAAACAAGATTAATTACATTTATAGCTTTTAATAAATTACGCACCAGTTTCATTGAATATAAATAAGCATCTCTTATTTTTATTGCTTGGACGAGTGAACGAACTTACAGCCCACCTGCTGTTAAGTGATTACTGCAGCCCAGAGACAATGTGAATGCTTCACCTTGAGGCTTGAGGCTTGTCTATGTCTCAATTGCTTAGTAATTATGTAAATTTAATTTTTTTGCGGGTTTGACTTTTATTACATGATGTTTATTCCTTCATCATGAAAGTCAGTCGTGAACACGAGTTAAGTAAATATTTTTCATCACAAAAATTTATGTAGACCGTCTGTATGTAGGGCGTCTCATCCTTTAAGCCACATCGACTCAAATTCGTTTTGCTTTATCTTTTTGGGAAAGTTGACGGATGCATTTATGTGTCGCTCAAAGATATCAGGCAAAACATTAGTCAAATGTAATCTTGGAATCCCCATTTTTATACTTGTCTAAACCAACAGCTATTTTATCAGATCTTACTTTTGGGGTCATTATACATATTCCTATAGCTAAGACTAAGTAGTCCGAAACTTTTTAAAATATAATAATATCATACAGCCTTGATCTTGAGCTGTTGAATCTAGCCGAGCCGATGCAACAGGTTGTAATAACTTGCAACCGGTTGCAACAAAGACTGCACACTAAATAGTATCCTAAAAATGGGAGTTCGTACATTTGTATGTTTGTTAAACAATCACGCATAAATGGCTGAAGAGAATTTTTTTTTTATTGCCCTTGTAGGCAGACGAGCATACGGCCCACCTGATGGTGAGTGGTTACCGTCGCCCATGGACTTCAGCAATGCCAGGGGCAGAGCCAAGCCGCTGCCTATCGCTTAATACTCTCCACAAGCCTTGTTTGAAGAAGGACATGTCATAGAGCTCGGGAAACACCGTGGAGGGGAGCTCATTCCATAGCCGGATAGTACGTGGCAAAAAAGATCTCTGGAAACGCACTGTGGATGACCGCAGTGGCTCCAGGTAGTATGGATGAACTCTACTACGATGGCGGGCGGTGTGATGGTAAAAACGAGATGCCGGTATCATCTCGAACAATTCCTCAGAGCACTCCCCTAATTAAATGAACTCTCTCTTATGGGTAGTTTATACGTAGGACACTTTTTATTGGGGCAAGTGACATGACCCGGTCAACGCCGGGTTTATCTGTATTTAAAAATACGACAGTATTTCCTGTTTCATGATTTGATATTTCTACAAATTAGTTGGTAGTCTGGACCGGAGATTGATATAAGTAAACTTTTATACCGAAAATACGCCAAGTCTTTCATTTTTTTAATTACAAATATAACGCATGTGAAACCGCGGAGCATGTTTAGTGCTACTTAAAATGTTACTAAGAATATGCTTTCAGAGATCTCCAACCAGTCGCTACCATAAAATATACATTAATAGACAACAAATGATGAGCCTTTTGCCCTAGGAAGTTTTTTTTTGAGATGAAATTTTAAATGGCTTGATTGCTAACCAATAAATCACTGAAGTAATGAAAAATATTCTTCATGTCTTGATTCTGTAATTTATTACTAGTAATTAGTTTTCACCTTACTTTAGCACTCTTCTATAAGGTCAAGCTGACCTGTGTTTAAGTAATAAAACCTTTTTACGTAATTTTCAGTAACTTTGCTTTAAACTTTTCTTATGCATGAAGGATCGGCTTTTAGGTTGTTGAGATTCACCAGAACAAAATAATGATTACTTTTTCTATTCGCGTTGCTACATTTTTTTTTTATTATTATTATTAGACAGTCGTTAATGTCTACAATATTCAATCAATGAATAATTGATTATTGATGAATACATAACAATTGGACACGGACCACTACATACCGTTATGAATATTATAAATTATTAGAAACGTCGGATAATATTGATTGAAGTTCATTTACGTGGCACGTCATATTTGCGATTGCGGAAACCGGGGAATGCCCATATTTTATGTTTTTCTGTCGTATTCTTTGAACAGTGGTTGGTATGTTAAGCATAAATTAGCTGAATGATTAATAGCAAACTAGTTTTCCATGTTAATTATAAAGTTATATTGGTAACAATAACATTCAATGCATTCATAATTGCAAAGATCAGATGACAATGATCGATGAGCAATTAATTTAACGATTAGTAATTAATGCCGTGATATGGGATTACATTGTTGCTTCGGAAAAATGTAGTGGTAGTTACAAAAATATCCCCATGAAGTTATTATATCTATGGACATTTACTAAATATTTTTTTTATATAAGTTATGACAAAGATGTTGGGAATGTAGACTTAAATTGACATTTAATCCAGGCTGAAAATTTCTAGAGATAATTTTTATTGTTAATATTTGTATAGGGGTTATTAGATATATTTTTTAAGAAAAGACAAATGTGTTTGTTTAATTTAGGACAGTTTTGTTGTTTTATACGTTTACCACAAGATTAACTAATAGTTCTTGCGGTCGTAAGTTTTCGAGAACACATTTCTTTTTTTCGGAAGGAAGGGTTACTGGTGACCCGATGGCCACTCCAGTTGCACCAGGACAGGTAGGCGAGCAAAGGCTTTTCAGTGAACACATTTCATGTAACAAACATTGAATTAAAGAACGAAGCAATTTAAGAATTAACGATCAAATAGATAGAAAGATCAAATAGATCAAAGAGAAGTTATTCATAGCGTTAAATGTTACTTATATAAATTAAAACTTGCAGTTGTTTGAATAAAATGATTAAATTGATGCAGTGTCAAGTTCAATTGGGTTACACATTATCTTTTCACAAAAATATTTATTTATCTGTATTTTGTCAAAGTTTTCGGTAACTAGAACAAGATTGACCAAAATGTATTTTTTTAACCCGCGATAACCTAGCACCAAATGTATAAATAACTAGCTGACCCGGCAGACTTCGTAGTGCCTCAATCGATAAATAAAATACCTTTTTGTAAAACTTTTGTATAAAATAAACTTAAAACAAACAAAAGGAATCCGTCCGATGGGGGACACTTCAAAGGGAAAACAAGATAATTTTCATATTTATCTACCTTCTCTGGACTTCCACCAATAATTCAAGACAAAAATTAGACAAATCGGTCCAGCCGTTCTCGAGTTTTAGCGAGACTAACGAGCAGCAATTCATTTTTATACATAGAGATAAAAGATAAATTTGTGTTTTTTTATTGCCTATATTGAACGAGCTCACGGTCTACGGCTAGTGTTCAGGCCAGAGCCCATAGACATCAGGGCTAAGTAGGGCTGCAATGTGGAAGACCCACCCACCTTGAGATCGAAAAAAAATACAAACAAAAACAATAACTTATGAACTGACATTTACATGAACTTTACGTGGGAGAATCGACTAGTCAGACCAGGATTTCCGACATAAATTATTCAATACATTACACATTACAAGTTCATATTTATATGACATTTATATGTATGACTAGCCGTACTCGCCCGCTTCGCTGGGCATTTAAAATTAACATTATTATTTATTGTCATTATTATTAGGGAGTTCAACACTCATATAAATATTAGCCTATACATTGAGTACATGTATTTTCTACATGGATACCAAGTTTCAAGTCAATCGGATGCACGGTTCAGTAGTTATAACGAAACATCCGTAAAAACCACTGTAAATTTATATATTAGTATAGACTAGTGGCTATCTTGTGTGGTATGGTTTAAATTATAGGTGACGCTATGCGAATTAGAAACACAACTTCTGTAATTAAAACAGCTATATGTGTTTTTTCAATATGATATTAGATTTCTACGATGCCAATATTCCCAGTGTCAGGGGCTTATAAAAACCCTCAATTGTTATATGAAAACGTACGCTGTTTTATGAAATAGGAAATGTGAAATGATGTTTGGTTTTACTAAAATTGTAATTGAGATTTAACTGAATGAAATGGTATAATACGAGTTAATATGAAATTAAATAATGTCCCAGTATAATTTAAGGAATTTACTGAGACTTGAGTGCGTTTTTGGGAAATAGCCGAGATACTAAATTCCTGCACAGATGCTAAACGTTAAATATTATACGTTTAAACCTGAAGAAACACTAAATTATGATAATAAAAATAATTCACAGAATAACTGTAGTAGTAACTGTAGTCGTCGTGGCCTAACGGATAAGACGTCCGGTGCATTCGTGTTGAAGCGATGCACCGGTGTTCGAATCCCGCAGGCGGGTACCAATTTTTGTAATGAAATACGTACTCAACAAATGTTCACGATTGACTTCCACGGTGAAGGAATAACATCGTGTAATAAAATTGAAACCCGCAAAATTATATTATGCGTAATTACTGGTGGTAGGGTCTCTTGTGAGTCCACGCGGGTGGGTACCACCACCCTGCCTATTTCTACCGTGAAGCAGTAATGCGTTTCGGTTTGAAGGGTGGGGCATCCGTTGTAACTATACTCGAGACCTTAGAACTTGTATCTCAAGGTGGGTGGCGCATTTACGTTGTGGATGTCTATGGGCTCCAGTAATCACTTAACACCAGGTGGGCTGTGAGCTCGTCCACCCATCTAAGCAATAAAAAAAAAAAACCTCACTCCTCGCATTCCCGCCAAAAAGTACATTTTTTTATTTCAATGATTAATATAATACTAGTATGGCTCATGATTGAGGTTTCAATAGCTCATCGATATTAGCAATGTCAGGGCCACTTGAATAAACTAGTTTTAAAATCAATAACTTAATACAGTTTTATCATGATTCTATAATAATATAGATTTAAAATTCTACTCGGCAGAAACCAAGGCGTTTCATGAATATAATACTTTTGAATTGTCTATGTTTACAACTTTTTTTTTATCACGGATGGTACAAAGAATTATTAAATTAAAGAATATTTAATTCATTTTACGTTATTGTTAGGTAAGAGCCCTTCACTCGCGTGTTAAGATACTGAAGAGACATTAGTCATTTTGAGATTGAAGTCATGGTCATTATTAAATGCAACCTAATTGGAACAGGCAGGCTGGTGACGCGCTTACCAGAGCAACACGCAGCCTTAAAGCCTGCACTATGGCATAGCTAATAGTTCTAATCTAGTTTTTTGGAGAACTGTAAGTGTGAATGGAAAATGTTCACTACCTACAATATGTTTCATTATGTGAATTATGGCGGAAAAAAGAAAACTGTTCGAAAATTTATGTCGACAGTTCTTTTATTTTCATAGCTTATTGTGTTGGCTTAAGCATATTGAAAAAAGTACTGTACTTTTGCGTTAGTTAGAATTGGACATGACCATTAGTCAAAAATTATACGCTAAAACATAATCTTCAAAATATCTGTGTAATATGAATTGCACATTTAATTTAATTTATAAAATCAGTGACTTAAGTTGATCTTACGTGTCTCTGAATAATTATGAGTTCCAGAACTATTATATATTATTACGTAACTATATTCACATTAGATCTTAGACTAGTGTTCCGTTGCTAAAATAAATAAATTAATTAAACTGAAAGTGAACTTCTGATTCTTTAGGTCAATCAATTTAAGATAATGAGAACGATTTATGTGTACATTGAAAAAAATCATAATTAACGCAAAAAAAATAAAAATAGAACGAGATACGAATGTTGTTTTAAGAAATAAAAACAAAAATACTTAAAACAATACTAACAAACATCGGCGAAACAGACTCCGGCAACCAACAGCAACGCACAAAACCTGATCACAGCCGAAGCCATTGCGTCGAAAATACACAAACAAAAAAAATATAATATTAAAAAATGATGTGTATGCGCTCGCACAACATACAGACTGACATTGATCGTGGCCTTAGCGCGCTTATATTCACTTACCGAGGACCACTGAATCACATCATTCCGTGAAATTTTATCTGATTCCAATATGGACGTGTTTTGTTTGACTGCCAATTTGATATCCGCTTCTGAGGGTTTTTTCCTCACTAATATATCAAAATTTATGAATACTGTTTTTATTAATAAATAATTTTATAGAACAATAACATGCAGTATAGAACAATAGAATGATAATAAAAGAAACGTCTACCTTAAGCCGTAAAAGTGGGTTTGATTATGTCTATGACTCGCAAAAATCGAAGATAATAATTGTATAGAAATTGCAAAATCTTTTAAATGCAATTATTGTTCTTGGATTAGGCGAAAGTAGATGTCCTGAAGATGTAATTGCCTGTTGAAGTCCGTGTAAGAATTTTTTAATAACTCAAGTCTCATTGTAATAATATTTTTTGATTGTGTGGTGTCGACCTAGAACAACAGTGCGTCATCTCTCCGCGGATATCGTAAGAGGCGACTAATGAAATAGCCGGAGAATTAACTCCAAAATTTATCACCACCCGGCCCATTTTTGCCGCGGAGTTATCCTTTATTCCGATTTGAAGAGTGGGATACATATTCGTCATGCAATGCAATTGACATTTTGATCTTTGGCATTCACGTTGTGATATTTATGGGCTTCTAATCATTTAGCACTAAGCAGATTGCAATGTCGCCCAACGATTATATGCTACAATTATTGTCAGTATTGCAATAATGCAGCCTGCATAACATTCGAACTCGTACAAGCTGGTGACTATTAAACTAAATATTTGTCTATAAACGTTTACGTTAGGGCGAGTATTTTTTAATATACATGAGAGAATTACTAAGATATTACTAGTACCTACTCATTCGTCATACATTAAAAGCGCTAGTTGTAAAAATTTAATGCATTTAAACTTCTTTCGATTATTTTTTTCCTACCTAATGTGATAGCCTTGAGAGGCTAAGTATATCAGCGTAACCTTAACTGGTAGGTGAGCTCACGGGGCTCAAACCTGACGACGTTGCTAACACGAACCCTAGCAAGAGCCGTGCTTCGCAGAGTATACCATCGGAAACGCGACCCACTGATAAAATCCGGCGAGAAACTCGGTGGGCCGTGTCTAAGGGTGGGATATCTTTCGAAGTACCTAGTCAATTCTGTGGTGTCGTTGAATCATTTGGATAGTGTAATATAGATGGACTTTAATTGTTGTTATTCTTTGCTGTATTTATTTTGACACGATTTCGATAGTTTCATGAAGCTTAATTACATCTGTAAAGCGTTAATTACTGAATACTGACTGTCCTTAATGTCATTATTTTAATAAACGTTACTTAAATTTGGTATTACTCTTGTAAAGTTTTTTTAAATTACGTAGGTACTATCTAAAGTTCTCTAAAATAAAACAATGTTTAAAAAATCTGTGTGGTTTTCGAAGTGTTTGTTTGATACAGTTTTAGTATTTAGTAGACTTTAGTATTGAAAATTCCTTAACAGAGATTTATGCTTTGGATTGTCATTGATACTAATTTCGGAGCGTTACTTTTCTAATACAATTTTTAAAGAAATTTCAGTTAATATTTAGCATTTAGCATTTAGAATATAAATTTTAAAATCATATTATAATATTTAACACTGATATTTCATACCGCGATAAAAACTAGTAATCAGACCAGGGCAAAGAAGAGGCACCAGAACTAAAGAAAGAAAATTAAACACTATTACAAAAGACTCCAATAAAGGATATATTGTTCGTAATTCGACAGTTTTTTTTATGTGTGCTAACTCAGAACATTTTAGATGTGGCGATTTTTATTTTCTTTAAGCGTCTTATATGACCCCATAAAATTTTTATTAACATACCTAAAGAAGTTTTGACTTATCCTCAATGATGCATATTTAATTGATTTAATTGATCATACTCTCAATTTTATTTTGGGGAATTCGGTATTCTTTTTTGTTATCATTTTGTATTATTGAAATTTCAAATGGCCCTTATGTTACCCTTCAACGCCGCATGCAATACCTATACTTCAAATAATCCAGTTTGTCGATGTCGCCAGGCTGCTCTGAAACCGGTTTATTCAATTTTAAATGCTTGTCTTAATCTAGGACCTGCTCCGTCAAGTTGGACTAAGACGTTCAGGGTAAAGTTCAATGACTTTTAGAAGTCTTTGTGGATCTTTTCTTCTCCTGCTACCATACTTTATTACCTTAGTACATATGTTTTTTTTTGGTTTTGACGCCAACTGGATTTGCTAATGATTACACGGTGACCCGAAAAAAATCGTGATTAAAATTTAATTTCCTAATATCTTAAATTATGCTTTCTGACGACGTATTTACCGCTTATATCCGGTATAAAAAATGAACCTAATTTTAGTGAACAAATCTTGTTTTAGAATGTAGTGCTATTAAACGATTTTACCTGCTATAGGATAAACTAAATGATGACGATGATTATTTTTTGATAACGCCATCTTGTTGTGTCTTTAAAGCGGTTAGTTGCACCCAATTAAGAAAAATAATATTATTATTCGCCAATAGATGTCGGGAAGAGTTGATTATTGAAAACACGAATAAAACAACATTTTCTGAAAATAAATCGTAGCTAGATCGATTTATCGCCCCCGAAATCCCCTCTATACTGAATTTTATAGAAATCGTCGGAGCCGTTTCCGAGATTCAGATTATATATACCTATACAAGAATTGCTCGTTTAAAGGTATAAGATAAGATTATAGGATAAAATGAGTCAGTTATTTGAGATTGTCATAGAGTATATTATATAAATGTGTAGGTACTTTTTTTTGTATCTATGATGTACGAGCTCACGGCCTATTTGGTTTTAAATGGTAACTAGAGCCATCACAACTTGTATATCGCTACTAACCTACAGTCCGATGTCCCCTCTTAATTGGGACATAGGATTGTATCTCAGCAGCATATCAGATGAGAAGACGATGACCAGGGTCCCTGTGTCTGTGACGGTGGCTGGCTACTGAGTGAGCTCGGTTCAGATTGTAGTCAGCTGTGGCCACGATGAGGCGATTGTTTTTTTTTGTTGCCCTTGTAGGCAGACGAGCATATGGCCCACCTGATGGTGAGTGGTTACCGTCGCCCATGGACTTTAGCAATTCCAGGGGCGGAGCCAAGCCGCTGCCTACCGCTTAATACTCTCCGCAAGCCTCGTTTGAAGAAGGACATGTCATAGCGCTCGGGAAACACCGTGGAGGGGAGAGCTCATTCCATAGCCGGATGATACGTGGCAAAAAAGACCTCTGGAAACGCACTGTGGATGACCGCAGTGGCTCCAGGTAGTATGAATGAACTCTACTCCGGTGGCGGGCGGTGCGATAGTAAAAACGAGATGACGGTATCATCTCGAACAATTCCTCAAAGCACTCCCCAATATCGCCTTATCGGAGCAGCATTCCAGTGTTGACTTCAGGTTTCAGGACTTAAGGGTTTGTCGCCTAGATCACTGTAGAGTTTGAAGTTCGTCACAAAACATAGTTATCCAAAAATTTATGTGAGTGCAGGTCGCGTGGACGAACTCCTTGGTTTTTTTTTTGTAGAGGACAAAATCACCGGATCCGCCGTGAGGGTGGGGTATGTGGGTGTTGAACCTCACCAAAAACTCATGCCGCTCACAGCTGACGCCCAACCCCGGACCTGGCCAGAGCCCAGTCGGGGCCATTGAGACGGCGGGATAGGGTTGACACAGAGCATCTTACATACAGTATCATTTATAAGTCAACCTTATTTATAAATATTTTTTTTCTGGAACGCCAATATAAGTTCTTAAGTCAGTGCATATTAGGTGCGTTCACGGACTTTGTAAGAAGGATGTTAAAGATCCTTTTTTTTTCTTGAAAATGTTTCTCTAGCGGCAATTCAGAATAATAAATAAATAAATAAATATTTACTAACAATCACGCCACGTTAACTGGTCCCGTGATAAGTTCGTAAAGAACTTGTGTTACAGGTACCAGATAACGGATATAAATGTAAGATTTTTATTATACACATACATATATTTCATATTTGTATTTATCATACAAATATCTTCCCTTGGCGGGATTCGAACCCGCGACCCCCTTGTGTAGTGAACATGTCACTTACCACTACACCAGACGGCCGTTAAAGAATGATCGTACAATGTCCTTTAAATATTGGTGTTAACTTAACTTAACTAGAGCGATTGGTGATATGCCATTCATACGAATTTACAGTTCGTAACGGATTTTTGAGAGCACAGTTACGCAATAAATAATAATTCGTTAGCCAATTCTACAAAAAATGATCAGTAATTAACTGTTTTTGATTTTAAGTTAATTGGTCGATATACATATATTATGTTCTATTGGTTTTTAGCGCATAACGGTTTATACGGTTCTATTTTTGTTTGCATTTATGTGGATGCCAGATGTACCAAAGCCTTTTAAACTTATAATGGGAATATTTCCACTCTTCTTGAGCCGTGAGACCTCATACAGCACGAGAAACCGTTTTAACTCTACAGGAACTGGAATTAGAAACCATTCGTCACCCTCCGTTTTCACCAGACCTTGCTCCAACGGACTACCATTTTTTTCGTGATTTCAACAATTTTCTACGCGACAAAAAGTTTTCGTCCAGGTCACGTGGTTCGTTCTTCAAATAAAAATTTACAACACGAAAGAGTTTAAACCAAAATCGCACGGCGCGTTCATTAGCAGTCAAACCTCGAAACGCAACATAGATATTGCGAGCTGTTTGTGCAGCGTTAGTTCCGCGTCGAAACTCGTATTCAAAAATTACTCGAATTTTCGAAGTATCCATCTTTCTTGTCTAAGCTGAATAAAAAAAACAACAGAAAGTCGATAGGATACATAATCGAAAGTTGCACATTATTTAAAAGAAGAACCTCTTAGGTACCATTTGAAAAAAGTTTCACTCAGCATACAGCCCACCTGAGTGAGTGGTGAGTGGTCACCGTTGCTGATGGACGTCAATAATACCAGGAGCAGAGCCGAGCCGCTGCCTACCTTTTAATCCTCTCCGCTCGGGAAACACCGTGGAGGTGAACTTATTCCAAAGCCGGAAGGTTCGTGGCGAAAAAGATCTCTGGAAAGCACTGTGGCTGAACGCAGTAGTTCCAGGTAGTAGGGATGAAGTTTACTCCGGTGGCGAGTGGTGCGATGGTAAAAACGAGATGATAGTATCATCTTAAAAAAATCCTCAATGCACTCCCCATGGAACATACGGTACAAAACACAGAGAGAACCGAAGTCCCTTCGCAGACCCAGAGGCTCCAAACGATCCGTGAGAATGGGATTATCGACGATCCGAACGACCCTCTTCTGTATGGAGTTCAAAACTACTTTAACCACTATAACTACTTTAACTAAAAACTAAATTAAAACAATAAAAAAACAATATAGCTAACAATGAAAGGTATAAAAAACTACCTTTGTACGGCCATTAATACTTTTAGTTTATTCGCACCCCTATTTGCTAAAACAAAGTGCATGTAAAAGAATAAATAAAGGTAGGTAAATAAAGGCCCTTAAAAACAAATTATGCACTGGATTTTGAAAAGTATTTAGTCATTATAGCTTAATCATATAACATAAGCATACATACATAACAACATAGCTTAAACAAATAAGACGCCGAATATAATCGTAGCTTCTGAATTTATATTTAAAGTTATTTACGAGCGATTAAAGATCAAACTTGAGGACCAAGGCCGTGAATTCATTCGTCCATCAATGCAAAAAATATATTTATAAATTGTTTGTTTAATCAGTCATTAAGTATTTCGTCAGTTTTCAATGAACCATCAATAAATTGCCGTTACATTATTGACAATTATTACTGAAGAAGTGTAATAACTCAGTTGGACTTAAAAGATAGGTAGCCGTTTCGTAAAAAAAAAAAAACATGTGACGTGAGTGACGTGACACGGTGACATTACTATTGCTGACATTTCGTTAGACTGTTTCCTGTGGATTCTGTTGTTCCATCACGTGTTGCGAGAATTTGCAAGCGATCCTATTGGCTATTTGTTGCAAGAGTGATTTTATTTGACCAATAGTGAATAATTAAAATGGCAATTTCTTAGTGCTAAAACATAAAACTGACGAAGCGCCTTGTCACTTCGTAAAATCAAAACTATTTTTGATGTCAAATGTAAAGAAATAGGATCCCATGCTTGAAATAATTTATGTAAGAAAATATTAACAACCGTTTATTAATGAATTGGTGATTAAAATTAAAAAAGCAAGGAACCAAATACAGGTAATAGTTAGTAATTTTAATATTTTTGTTGAAGGAAAGAATTTGAGATAAAAATGCAAAGTCGGTCATAGTTTTTTGAGTTAGACCTTCGAAATTTTACTTTGGTTACTAAATACCTAATTAATAACAAATAAACTTCATCTCAAACAAATCTGGATTAAAAATCTGCATCAGCACATTATGCAAATGCGTCCAATTATATCCAATAATTTATTTACGAACATTAATGACATAATATAAAGGACATTATAAGATTTGTAACATGATCCCTGAATAAAAACACACCTTCAATTTTGCATTATTTTGCCTTTTTTACATTAATTTTCCTAACCTTGGAGTTAAGATAAATCTTATCTTACCTCCAAGGTAATTTACTTATTTTGTATTTTAATGTTGACTGTCATATGACAATGTTAGAACACAAAAAATCATTTTATGTAGGGTGCTGTTGAAATTAAATTAAAATTTATTACAATCTGTGAAAATTCTGTATTGAAGTTAGTAAATAACCTCAACAATATTTTAACTACATTTCAGTAATAAGAAAACACAGAAAATTATAATTGTTTATATTTAGGCTAGCTATAATTTTTATGAATATTTTTGATTTTTTTGATTTTGATTTACAGAATATGTCCAATACTAATTATCAATGTAATTAATTATAAAAAAATCACTGAAATAAAATAATAATCTTCAGGTACAAAATGCGGATAACATTTCTATTGATTGGATTTCTCTGCGGAATACAGTTTGTTTATGGTTTTGAAGACACTACTCTGGAAGATGATGATTTTGCTGAATTTGAACAGTTTGATGCTGAAGATGATACACCCGTAAATGGTATGATAGATGTGCTTATTCGTTCCTTTGCTTGTAGCATCTAGTTGTTGTAGTTCCTTCGGTTTTCACATGTCGTAAAACATTGATGTCGTAAAACAAACATAAAACGTTAATTTAAAGATCATGAAACGTGTAAAGTATCAGAAATATTGGAAATAATATAAAAAAAAATAAGATGCAAGATTAAAATCTGAAAATAACTAAAATTAACACAAACACTAGACATGAATCCAGGTGTTGTAATAGTTGGTATTTGTATGTGCTATAGTTATAGTATTGTGCCCCTTAAATTGATATGTTGTCACATTTTTAGGCAGCGGCTTGGCTCTGCCCCTGGCATTGCTGAAGTCCATGGACGACGGTAACCACTTATCATCAGGTGGGCCGTATGCTCGTCTGCCTACAAAGGCAATAAAAAAAAAAACATCTGTAACATAATTATTTCAGATTATACAGAAGAAGTACCTGATGTGCTGTCACAAAAAGTGAAACCACCACCTAAAGAATTTGAGGCTGTGGTTGAAATTGAAGATGAAATAATATTAGAGGTGTGTAAAATACACAGACAATACATAATTGAACAGAAGGCTCATTATTTATAAGTAAATCGTAAAATAAAATTAAAACAACTTAGATTTAGAGCAATTTAAGGAATAGATTTTATAGGTGCTTATTGTGAGAAATGTGTTTAAGTTTTAATTAGCATGCTTCGTTTTCTGCTAAAAACCTGTAGTGCACTTTAACATAGAGAGCAATATGATTGAAACAATGTTATTGATACTTTGACCTACAATATTAGTGTAAGGTGTTTTAGAATTGGGTACGCGTTTAGACTGCCTACTTAATAAAATATGCATTGAAATTTGTTTATTTAAGGATGAGGACAATGAATTTGAGCATTTCCAAGACCCTGAGGAGTTTGAAGGGTTCCAGGAAACCACTCCTCGTACAATGGAACAACCAAAGATTACTATTTCTAAGGTAAGATAGTGAAAATTTGTCGTAGTTTGTCTAATTTTATTAAATTTCATGATCACAACGAATTTCATATGGAAATGACTCTTACCTTTTTCGTACCTATGCTGGTAACTTCGAGCGGTTATGCCAGCCTAACTGGCCGAGTAGGTGAGCTGGCTCTAACCCGACCACGTTGCTAACATTAGCCCTATCAAGATCAGTGCTTTGCAGAATCTACCACTGGAACACGATGCAGTGAGAAGATACGGTGAGTCAGTAGGCTGTGTGTGAGGATTAGATTGCTCACCGAACGAATTTGGTTATAAGTTGACAAAATGCCCTCTGGAAATCCTTCAAATTTTCTGACAGGTCGCAGGTATTGGAGATAAAAGCCTCAATAGCGATGAGTCATTGTTCCAGGTTCCTATAACGGCTCGACCTCGCTGGGATGCGTACTGGCTGGAGGGCATACTCTGCTGTCTGCTGGCGTCGTACGCGCTCGCCTATGCCATTGGTCGCGCCAAGAACACGTCTATAGCCGTGAACTTTCTGAAGCTACACAAACCGCTTCTGGAGGAGAATTTCACTCTAGTCGGTACGTATATTTAGGTTTTTTTTTGGTAGGTTACAGATATTAACAAATTGAGACAAACAAATGCGTTCTATATATAGAGTTGCAGAAATTGTGAAATAATCTGAGATAATAAGTGGCTTATAATATTCTCTGTGCAGTGTCTCATTTTTTTTTTTTTTTTTATAACAACTAAGAGGCAAACGAGCAATACGGAAATATTTTGGCAATATAAAAAGAGTAGTAATTTTTACCTTGATAATTTAAAAGTAGATATTTTTTTATTTTAAACTTTTTTATCTATACTTCTACACTAATATTATAAAGGGGAAAGATTTGTTTGTTTCTTTGTATTGAATAGGCTCCGAAACTACTGAACCGATTTGAAAAATTCTTTCACTGTTTTGAAGCTACACTATTCCCGAGTGACATAGGGAAAAAATTAGGGATCCTTACTAAAACTCCAATAATGTAACACAAGGTGTAAAAAAATTACCTAAAATATTCCGTACATCACGTGCCTTGCGAAAACTATTGATGATAGAATAAAATAATGTACTACGACTTTGAAGAACACATTATTATTTACAAAAAGTGTCGCGATAGCAAATGTCTAACTAATACAGTTATGCCGCAATAAGTGTTCTTTTATTTAAAAAATTAAAACAACGTCAAATATCGTTGAAATTTTTTGTTAAAGACCCGAGCGGAGCCGGAGCGGACCGCTAGTTACATATATGGGTGAAGTTAATGCCCTTTCTGGCTTTGAGATATTGTTGTCCATAGACATCATAATGTGAAGGTGATGAACTAGGTCTGAGTCTCAATTGTATAGTAGCTGTTCCACCCTTCAAAATGTGAACGCACTGTTACTTTGCTGCAGAAATACGCATCACTCTAATATCAGGCATCACATATCACTAATACCGACTCGGGCTCAGAAGACGCCCGTCCCACCAGTAAACATAGTAGTCTATCTAGTGTACACTATAATTAAAGTAAAGATGTGAAGTTCGTGAACTTACGGCCAACCTCATGTTTAGTGGTTACCGTCGCCCATGGACTTTAGCAACTCCAGGGACAGAGCCAAGCCGCTGCCTACCGTTAAGTTATCTGGGCGTATCTTTTATTGAAAGTACGTAACTCAGGAGAAAGTCTTGAATGCGGAATTGTTAGTTTGATGTTTGGTTGGGTGTGTGTGTGTTTTTTTTTATGATTGAAAGATTACTGGTGGCCCGACGACCTTTCCAGTTTCACCAGGACAGGTGGGCGAGCAAAGGCTCAGCCGGGAGGGATGGGATTTGCTAACAGCTGCCCGAGCGCCTCCGAAGGAGACCTAACAACTCAAGAGCAACTGCTTTGCGAATGAATCTACTACCGGATCGGAATCGCGACCCGCTGAGAAGATCCCGCGAGAACCTCAGCGAACTGATGTCTGGTTGTGTGTGTGCAGGCGAGACTGGCGCGGAGGTGGTGAGCGGCGCGGACGAGCGCGGCTGGAGGCGCGAGGCGGAGCACTGCTTCACGATGTGGTGCAGCGGCCGCAGCTGCTGCGAGGGCATGCTGCTCACGCTCAAACTCATCAAGGTAACCGCCGACAGACTTCGCACTCACACTAAGCCGTTTTAGGACATATTGGAATCCCGTTCATTGATAATACCTTGAGACTTCAATGTCGTTAAAGTGGGCGATGACATTTGCCATATCAGTATCTCGCAGCCACTTGGCACTAGACAGGTCGTATATACCTAACTTGGGCACTGGGACTTTGAAAATTCGTTCTATTAGATTTATATTCTATTTGAAGTCGTCGTGGCCTTAACGGATAAGACGTCCGGTGTATTCGTATTGAGCGATGCACCGGTGTTCGTACCGGGTACCAATTTTTCTAATAAGTTACGTACTCAACAAATGTTCACGATTGACTTCCACGCTGAAGGAATAACATCGTGTAATAAAAATGAAACCCGCAAAATTATAATTTGCGTAATTACTGGTGGTAGCACCTCTTGTGAGTCCGCGCGGGTGGGTACCACCACCCCGCCTATTTTTGCCGTGAAACAGTAATGCGTGGCAGCCGTTGTAACTATACAACATACCAGAGACCTTAGAACTTAAATCTCAAGGTTGGTGGCGGCATTTACGTTGTAGATTAGAGGACTTAACACTAGGCGGATCGTAAGCTCGTCCACCCATAAATAAGCTATTTTTTTATCTTAATTCGTTTTGAAACAGCGGCAAGACCTCGTCCACGTGCTGCTGGGCGTGGTGCGGCCCACTCCGGACACGCTGCAGATCCGCATAGAGCTGGGCAAAGACGATATGGATCCCTTCGTGTTCTGTATCGCTCAGAAGAAGATAGCCGCGAAGCTCGCCAGGGAAATGCACGATTTGGTATGAAATTTTCCTTTTTTTTTTAGATCTCTTGATACCCTCGATGATGGAGTGTATCTCTGTGTGAACTTCTAAGTGGGTACCGTCGCCTCTGGATATCCCTTCCGACAATGTTTGAAGAACTTCATTCCCAATTATCAATAACCAAATGCTATATGACAAAATATATCGAAACGGGGAATGCACTGAGGAATTATTCGAGATGATTCCCTCATCTCCTTTTTATCATCGCACTTCCCGTTATCGGAGTAGAGTTCATCCATATTATCTGGAACCGCTGCGTTCATCGAAAGTGCGTTTCCAGCGATCTTTTTTGCCACGTACCATCCGGCTTTGGAATGAGCTCCCCTCCACGGTGTTTTCCAAGCGCTATGACATGTCCTTCTTCAAACGAGGCTTGTGGAGAGTATTAAGCGGTAAGCAGCGGCTTGACTCTGTCTCTAGCATTGCTGACATCCATGAGTGACGGTAATACTTTCCATCAGGTATGACGGGCCGTATGCTCGTCTGCCTACAAAGGCAATAAATAAAAAAAAGACGGATCGTGGACGTAGTGTTTCCATGTGGCTGTGGTGAATGGTCTAGTGGTGGATAGTGGATAGGTAAAAATGAGACGGGGGATAAATATTCCATTGTGTCCATATCATACACGACTATAATATGTTTACTTTTTTGTTTTTTGTACTTTTGTACTTTGTAATTTTTCGTTTACTGGTTATTCTAGTTATTTGATAAACTCAGAAATATTTTAAGTAATTTCTATTATAATAACACATAACCAAGTGAGAGGTATGTGGAGGTTGTTGGTGTGTTGGTGGTGTATGGTGGTTATTACAAAAATCAGTACCTGTCTGTAGGATTCGAACACCGACCCAATTGCATCGCTCGATACCGGACGTCTTACCCTTTAGGCCAATTCAATCTCAGACCAGTTAAGACCGTAAAGAAAGTTAGAATAAAGGAGTGTATGCGCGTACTGCGTGGTGCAGAGCGTGTACTGCGGCGAGCGGCGCGCGGGCGAGCGGCTGGGCGTGCCGGGCGCGCTGAGCGTGGTGGCGGAGTGCGCGGAGCCGGGCGCGGCGCTGCTGGACGCGCGCGTGTGCGCCGCGCTGCAGCTGCACCACCGCCACCTGCTCTACCTGCACCTCTCCGACAAGTACGCCGGGCCCAAGCACCTCGAGTCAGTATCCAACACCCGCTTATTTTTTCAGAATCTTTTTTTTGCTTAGATGGGTGGACGAGTTCAAGGCCCACCTGGTCTTAAGTGGTTACTGGAGCCCATAGACATCTACAATGTAAATGCCGCCACCCACCTTGAGATATGAGTTCTAAGGTTTCAGTATAGTTACAACAGCTGCCCCGCCTTTCAAACTGAAACGCATTACTGCTTCACGGCAAAAATAGTGGTGGTCCCTACCCGTGCGGACTCACAAGAGGTCCTACCACCAGTAATTACCAGTAATTACGCAAATTAAAATTTTGCGAGTTTGATTTTTATTACACGATGTTATTCCTTCACCGTGGAAGTCAATCGTGAACATTTATTAAGTACGTATTTCATTAGAAAAATTGGTATCCGCCTGCGGAATTCGAACACCGGTGCATCGCTCGATACGAATGCACCGGACTTCTTCCGTCTTATATTTTAGGCCACGACGACTTAACCTAACTACACTTCAAGTTCTTGTAAAAAAAGTCTGATGCAATAATGATCTTCTTCTGGTTCCATTCTTCTTAGTAAATTACAATTACAAGTATTTTAAAGTGATTAATGAAACCAATGCTAATTTCAATTAATTTGCTCTTCATGATTTTATGATGCTTTGTTTTATATTCTTCAATGTACATCAGAACCCGTCAGCAAATCAAACATATATCAGTAAGATAAACTAAAATATACATAAATGTACAGCTACCTATGCACACCCCCCCCTACGGCTGAGACAAAGCGTTGACCCCGCGCTTTGTATTACATTGCGCGCTCGTACATGCATTGCGTGTCGTGTACCGACGGGCGTGCTTGTGCCCGGCGGTCTCAGAGTTTGCGAATAGCTGAATTACAACAACGAGATGTCGTGGTCAGGGAGACGGCATCAACGAAGCCCCCGGAGACGGAGCGCGTGATGCTGGTGAGCCTGGCGCTGGGCCCGGACGGCGGCGGGGACGAGCTCCGCCCGCTGCTGCAGCTCGTCTTCTACATCCTCGACAAGCTCAAGAGGTTCAAGCTCAGCAAAGAGGTGAGATACAATATTGTTACGCGCTTAGGGTTCGGAATAAATAAAATCTCACCAAAGTACAACTTATGTATTCAACGCTGTATTCAATTTTTTTTTATGTATTTTTTTTATTGCGTATATGGGTGGACGAGCTCACAGTCCACCTGGTGTTAATATCCACAACGTAAATGCGCCAGCCATCTTGAGATATAAGTTCTAAGGTCTCAGTATAACTACAACGGCTGTCCCACCCTTCAAACCGAAACGCATTACTGCTTCACGGCAGAAATAGACAGGGTGGTGGTATCCTAGTGAGCCAAAATATGACTTCATGAACTTCAAGGAATGTTTCTAACACAGTAACGGCACAACATACAACGGTTCACAAATCGTTTGAATGATTTTTTTTTTCGTATTTCGCGAAATATTAAATTTTATAAAGGCGAAGCTTTGCCGTATTTTAACAGCGCAATATATTTTTTTGTGATAACTAATTAAGTAAATAATTCACAATGACATATCCATCCGTGTGTTATGTCAGGCGTTAGCTAAGTGCGAGAAGCGTCGTCAGAAGGTGGCGGAGGCCTGGCTCCGAGGAGCGCACGCTGCCAGACAAGAGCAGGCCGCTCTGAGGCGGGAGGAAAAACGGAAACAAGAAAAGGAACGCATACTCGCAGTAAGTATGATCTGAGTATAAACCCCGGTAACCGTACTCGTCGAACTCAACAAAGAGGTCGATGTGCAACCTAACCCATGCATCAGTCCGCTGAGTTTCTCGCGGGATCTTCTCATCCGGTCGCGATTCCGATCCGGTAGTAGATTCATTCGCGAAGCAATTGCTCTTGAGTTGTTAGGTCTCCTTCGGAGGCGCTCGGGCGGTTGTTAGCTAATCACACCTTTCCTGGCTGAGCTTTTGCTCGCCCACCTGTCCTGGTGAAACTGGAAAGGCCTCCGGGCCATCAGTAATCTGTCAATCATTAAAAAAAATCGGAGTATAATCTGTAGTTTTTGGTGAGCCATATATTGTAGGGGTGATGAAGGTACGGTAGCTCAGGTGGCAGGTATGTAGTTCTGCCGAAGTAGGATCGGGTTGTTAAGTGTACCGCAGAAACGCCGCGCCGTAGGGGGTGGCCCAAGCACGGCTCCCTGACGGTGTGGAAGGGATTCCACATGAGCCCCAAGTGACGGACAGGCAAGATGTTGTTGCGCAGCATTCTTTTTTATTTTTCTTATTGCTTAGATGGATGGACGAGCTCACAACCTACCTGGTGTTAAGTGGTTACTGGAGCCCATAGACATCTACAATGTAAATGCGCCACCCACCTCGAGATATAAGTTCTAAGGTTTCAGTATAGTTACAACGGCTACCCCACCCTTCGAACCGAAACGCATTACTGTTTCACGGCGGAAATAGGCGGGGTGGTGGTACCTACCCGTGCGGACTCCCAAGAGGTCCTACCACCAGTGATTACGCAAATTATAATTTTGCGGGTTTGATTTTTATTACACGATGTTATTCCTTCACCGTGGAAGTCAATCGTGAACATTTGTTGAGTACGCATTTCATTAGAAAAATTGGTATCCGCCTGTGGGATTCGAACACCGGTGCATTGCTCAACACGAATGTAGCGGACAACTTTTATCAGGACGAATGATGGCGTTTATTGTCGAAGTCCAAGACCCTAAATCTTACCGGGGTCTTAGTGCAGCATTAGTAGTAGTAGTATCGGTATTTGCTTCCATTGTGTCACCAACCACGCGACTAACGAGACAGTAATTTCTTTAATTCGTAAACTGGTATTGTTCGTATATCTAATGTAGTATTGTTTTATAGGAAGACGACCCAGAGAAACAGCGTCGTTGGGAATTAAAAGAGCAAAAGCGCCAACAGAAACGAAAAACTCCCAAAATGAAACAATTGAAAGTGAAGGCGCTGTGAATAATTTTTAAGCATCAAGTCAAAATGCAATAATACTTATATACAAATATTGTTTTTTTTTGTTATTATTATTCTGTAAGCGTTAAGCATACTCAGAAAGTGCGAATAAATTAATTTTATCCTTGTTTTTTTCTTATTATTAACCTTTGTAGATTAGAATGTTAGATCGAGACCTCTTCAACGCCTTTATAATCACAAATAATGGAAACTCAATGCAAAGAAAATTATAGTGGAAAGAGACAAAGACACCTATATGGAGTTTATCCTGTAAGAGAAACATACTTCTGAAAGCTTCCCTTCTTTACGGTCCTAAGTTAGTGTGTATAGATACTGAAAGCTTTTCAAGATCACAAAGAGAGTCATTTTAACAAAATTGTAAACAAAAATACCAACACTGATTCCGGTCTTATAATTATCAGCTAAGGTGACTGATGAGGCATTTACTGATGAAAGGTCTCGACAAAGTAGCATTGGGATAAATTGGTTTTGTTATGAGATGTTAACTATTTTTTATTGCCCTTGTAGGCAGACGAGCATACGGCCCACCTGATGGTGAGCGGTTACCGTCGCCCATGGACTTCAGCAATGTCAGGGGCAGAGCCAAGCCGCTGCTTACCGTTAAGCCACAAGCCTCGTTTAAAGAAGGATATGTATGTCATAGCGCTCGGGAAACACCGCAGACGGGAGTTCATTCCAAAGCCGGATGGTACGTGGCAAAAAGATCGCTGGAAACGCACTGGTTGAACGCAGTGGCTCCAGGTAGTATGAGTGAACTCTACTCCGGTGGCGAGCGGCGCGATAGTAAAAACGAGATGATGGTATCATCTCGAAAAATTCCTCAGAGAACATACGGTACAAAATATAGCGGGAACCGAAGTCCCTTCGCATACCCAGAGGTTCCAAACGATCCGTGAGAATGTGATTATCGATAATCCGAACGGCCCTCTTCTGTATGGAGTAAGCGGAAGTAACTGGTATTATGTAGTATTAGTAGAAGAACTAGTATTATGTTATAGCTTTCCCGTACTTCAAATCGGAACTACTAGACTACTTTGCGACAGAAATAAGCAAGGAGGTACCTACCGGTGCGGGCTTACATTCTGTTAGCTTTTCTCTTCTCGATTATATGGGTTAGTTATATTTTTTGAACACAACTTTAGTTTTGTTTTAATTTAGGGGAGGCTATTTTTCTATAATTTTAAAACTGATTAAAAGCGGTTCAATAGTGTATCAAATTAATATTTACAGGCTGAGGGTAAGAATGGATGATAATTCACTGGCCTATATTAGTATATTTTGAAAAAAAGAACAATGTGGCTGTTTGAATGTGAAAGGTAAATGAATAAATATTATGTGTCGATATTGAGTCAGCTATGAGTATTCACTTCAGTTTACAATATAAGTTGGAAATTGTCAAATTAAAATATGAGATCACCTGTGAGATAAATGTGGGAATGATTCTACATATTATGTGAGCTAGGAGGGTCATTAGAAATATGAAGCCTACTTATATACAAATTCAAGCTGGTAACAATTTTCAAAAATAAGCAGGCTGCAGGAATTTCAAACTTGAAAATGAATCAAGTAATTTAAAGCAATATTTATTTTTAAAGATCTGTTAATTAAATCATTTGAACAAAATAACAAAATATGTTAACAAACCTGAGAGGTGTGTTTTTAATAAAGATGAAAAACATGAAAAATTACTAGAATGCATCTCAAACTAATAATGGCTCAGCTTTTAAGTGAGATCTCAATGCAGTCTTTAATTATTTGTTTATCTTTAAAATTAACACATCCATAAAGCAAATTAATACAATATTCAAAATGGTTTAAGATTTTTGTATTACATGTACATACTTTTTAACATAATTCAAGAAGAATCATTCACTGTATTAACTTCTCTGTTGTCAATTATTTATAGGAAACAATTACAATAATGCTTATTGTAATACAATGTTTTATGTTTCAATATAAGGAAATGTAAATATGTTTATTATTATTATTTCTGTACTGTTACATTATGTTAGATAAAGTAGGGACATGACTCGTTTAAGAAAAAAAAAATCATACTTGCTAGTAAATCACTATAATATATTCAACAAATACTGAAGTTTCAAAACTCATTAATATTTTGATACAAAAGTATCAATTTGTACTTAAAATTTTTGAGCATTAAATTTCGTCTATGATTTTTCATTTCCCATTAATTGCATTAAAAACAAATCAGGTTAGAATACATACACAACACATGCAAAATCAAATCAATTACACCAAGCTAGGAACAACAATATTCCACTACTTATTCCCTAACACAAATACACTGATAAACATATTATTTTACATCCTTTAGATCACTTCTACTACTGCTATGTGCTACCACTCTCAGAGTAAATATGACTTGTTGGTTATCACTAAATTCTGACGTCTTGGTGGCTGATGTCATTCATCAACTTGTAGTTTTTGTATTCGTGTCGAGACACAATCCATTTCGGGGGATGTTTCCGCGTTTATCGGTGGTTCGACTGCTAGATTGAGGTTCTCGAGGGACTGGCATCTTTTCGCTGGACTTTTTATGCAGTCATGGATGTAGCTACTGGTTGATGGCTCAAACATACTGCTTTTGAATTCGCATCCATTATCACTCGGGTCATTGGCGAGCGCATCAGAGTTCTCACTCTTGGTTCTGTGCCTAATGGGCACTACGTAAGGACACAGTCTGTTTTTATTCGTCGCTCTTTTCATGCAGTATCCGACTGTGACGTTTGATACATAACGCGTGTTCAACCGCATTACACTGTAGTTAGACTTCGTTTCACGTAAATATTCACGCCTCGCTTCAGTTATTGCACTCAGCATGCCTAAATCATGTAAAGCTTTATCTAAATTTTCAAGATTCATGTGGCGAGACTTCTGTAAACAATACAATAATTTATATTAATTTTCTTATTACCATTTATTTCAATCACAATAGTTTTCGTTTGTTTAAAATAACTTACGCTTTTCTCAAAATCATTGCATTTCATCCTGAATTAGATTTAGTCAATAATTGGGAAATATGTGTGAAAAACAGTGAAAATAAACATCACAAAAGTCATAATATTGAATGACACTAAAGACCAGTGCTGCCAACACATAAAAATGTCATAGACCTACTTCAGTGAAAAATGTACATCTTTTAAAAAATTCTTTATATTATGAATACAAAAATAACGAGCTTGTGATATTTTAATTTATTTTTACCCTTAGGGTTTATTCTTCTATTTATTTACGGCTACTGATAAGTGATAACTAAATGTTTAGCCAATCTTAGTAATTAACACGATCAAGTAATTAACAAGGAACTTCAACAATCTTTTCAGTAAAAATATGGAATTTCGTAAAGAATTTAATGCTCTTTACAAAAATCCCAAAATACATTAGCCAGAATATTAAAACAATTAACGTTGTAATTTTCAAATGTGTATGTAAAGTTTGTAAAAAAAATAACAACACTTACTAAAATAAAGCAAAGATTTTGTTGGACGGTTAAATTTTAGGGGATTTGGTTTTTTAGGTGATGAGGGGCTATTTAAAAACACAACTGCTTCATTATAATTATATTGCAGATTGCTTGAACACTTCCACACCATTATACAATTATTATCTTTATATTTTTTATAAAACTATTACATGTTTGTCTTGCCGTGTCTAGATGAGAAGTAATGACATTTTCTTAGGAGAATACAATGATCTGTTTTTTAAACATTTAAAATCATTCTAATATTCGAAATCTAATCAAGTGTCAAGTGTTGCCTGCCATTACATTTAATATACAAATTCCAACAGATTTTAACCACGGCATAGTTGCATTTCTCGGTATTAGTACATCGAACACTTTATTTTAAGGTCTCAGACACTTTTTTATATTTTGTTACCTTCATCTTCCTATTTTTATGTCAAGGTGAATGACTTTTATATATTTTATTGAAATAGTTAGATGGCTTCTTAAGGAGATGAGAAACTAATTTCAATATTGAGTTACAAAATATAGTATTGAATAACATGTTCAATGTAAGAAAAAAAACTGAAATCTACTTTAAGGAATAGAATTTAACATGAAAACGTCGTGATTATAAAGATAATTGTCTAGGAAACTTTCATCGCTCTGAGAAATTTTATTTCTAACTAGCTTTTTCCCGCGACTTCGTCCGCGTGGAATAGTTCACAAAATTAATGCTTTATTTTAGAACAAATTTGGTTAGCATAAAAACGTTATAGTGAGCCAACCTTAACATATAGACATATCCTGTCGCGGACTTTTTTTAGATCTTTTAAAGGGGAACAATTCTGTCATACATTATTTTAGCGAAACTTAAACCGTTTCTGCAGCGCACGCAGCGGAAGATCTCAAAAGGTAAAAATAACCCCGATTTTGAAACATTCTTTATTGGTGCTCCGCTTGTATTGGTCTTAGCGTGATGCTATATAGCCTATAGCCTTCCTCGATAAATGGGCTATCTAACACTGAGAGAATTTTTCGAACCAGTAGTTCATGAGATTAGCGCGTTCAAAACAAACAAACTCTTCAGCTTTATAATATTAGTATAGAGTTAAAAGATGATAAGTTTATCGGTAGGTAATTAACATCAAGTAACATATTCCTAGATTGTCTTAATAAACTGCTTGCTACTTGCTGGGAATAAGCATTCCGGGTCTCGTGTTGAACCATTTCACATCTCCACGAGTGCTTGTTTGATATGGCGCGAAAAGTAATTTAATAATTGGCAGTTTTGCAAAAAGAGCCTGCGAAGTTTTTGGACATGTCAAGTAAATTAAGAAGTGATTAAGAAACGTATAAAATCAATCAAATTGCATAGACATACTTCAGTGTCAAATTGTCAAAAACGAATTACATCGAAAATATTGTATTCTTGTTGACAAATGCTTTTCACAATTATATAAAAAAAATAAACATACACATCTTTTATAAATTATCACACAGGATATGAAATGGCGGAAATATTAAAAGAATGGCTTACGGAAAGATTGGAAAGACCAATAAAATGGGAAGCTCACGAATTCGGGGAAATGATGAAAAACGGCTTTGTTCTTGCTTCTGTACTATTGAGTTATAAAGTTATCAATGATGAAAAACACTTTCTCATAAGATCGAGCAATGCTGCCGAACACATTAAAAACAATTGGAAATATTTATCAGAGTGGTTAAGGACGCTGGATATAAATTTAAATGATGACGATCTACGTTGCCTCATGGAAGGAAAGGGTTCATCGTTGCTCAGACTATTTTATCAGCTGTTTTTAACCCTCGATAAAAAAGATAGAACAGATTTTATTAAACGGGAAAGAAAGATGATGACAAATTTAGTAGAAAAACCGGAAACACGATTCAAAGTAGACATAGTGAAAGAGGAACGTGAGTCTGTTGTTGATGATTTGTCTAGATTTTTACTGAATGAGAAGCATTTTGTAGAGTGGCAAAAGATAAAAGCTAAGCAAGTGAAGGAAACGTATGAGTATATGAAGCATAAATATTCGAAAGTGCTTAAAAATGCTAATGAGAAAAATGCCCCATTTCTCAGAAGCATTCCAAAAACTCCAAACAAAGAGCAAGAAAAAGATAACAAAGAAATGGAAAAATTTTCGCTGAGGTATCCATGTACATTTCAAAATTATACTTATGAAGAACTTTTGAAGTTGGATGAACAAGCTGTTGAAAGGCAAAAGTTTTTAGTGGACACAGAGTGGGCTAGGAACTACATGAATAATTTACATATTAAAATTCAAGATAAAACTGAATCAGAAGAGTTCCAAAAACAAATCGGGAATACAATTAGTGGCTCACTTTGGGAACTTACCGTGGCTGAAGAGGAAAGTAATCTTGATACAGAATTGGCAAAGAAAGTTATGAAATTATCGCAATTCGAGAAACAATTGTGTACGCAACTTATGGAAACGAAACAACAAACAAGAAATTTAATTAAAAATAGAATACAAGCGGAAAAACAATTTTCCGAACAGAGAGAGCAACAATTCAACCAATACCTTGAAAACGTCAAAGAACAAATCAGCTTAGAAGTGGCTGAGATAGATTTTGAAAAACGCAGACAAAATACGCTCCATAAAAAGCTATATGCCGAGAAAATGAAAAGAAAACGCCAGCATTATTATGAAATATGTTACGATACGATGTTGTCTATAGTAGACTACGTAACTAAATACGCATATTTTAAATTACTAATTGGTGATGAAATACCTCATCATTTTATTCACGAATGGAAAAATTTATATTACAAACACCAACCTATTTTTGATATTTTGGATTCAATGGAAGATATTTTAAAAGTTGAGCATGAGGATCCGCAGTATGAAGAGGTTGTGAGGCTTGAACTTGACCGACAGAATGCTTTAAATGATGTCGAGTTTAAGGAGTATCACGACTATTCACACCCGTGGAATTTAGAATGTTTAATTTCTAATTATGATCCAGAAGCTGATGACAGAAAATATGAATATCTGGGTACTAGAATCTTAGGTCATGTTGTATATAGCTTACTTGAAATAAAATATCCGTATCCGCCACAAAAGACGCCAGCGGATTTACCAGCATATTTAGCTAAAGCTGTACTTCGTGGTCTTCCAGATAGATCTCTGACCGTTGCCATGCAGACTTTATTAAATTTTCGCAAGATACAAGTTGTTAGACTTGAATCTGCTATTAATTTTTGCATGAGAAGATATAAATTTGAGATGGTCGGTTGTACAGATGTAGAATTGTGTTATGATAAATTTATTTCGGGAATTCCCGACGAAGACATCCAAAATAAAGAACTTATTCGATTAACTAAAATTGAAGATGAAGTAGAAAACAAATCGAATGAGGTGGCCGTTGCAACCATGCTGGGTACAATTCCTGCGAATACTAAGCAAACGCAGACACCTAAGGCTATACCAGAAGAGGAAATTAAATTATCCACTGCAGCAGAGCTCGGTCGTTACGCCTATGATACACTTAGTTCTGGTAGTTGGTTAACCGATTATTTGCTTTCGGCTATGATAGTTGAATACTTAAAAAGTCTAAATGTTGACGGGTTTGTCATTATAAACTATCCAAACTCATATCGAGAAGCTAGAATATTGGAGGAAACATTTTCGGGTCGAGCTCCACCTCATGAATCAGAATTAAGTGATAACGACGATATATATTTAGAAGAAAACATAGCCAAACATCAGATAAAAGACAATGATCCTTTTACACTACTCAGATCGTCTAATCTCGTAAATAATCCCCATAAATTACCGAACGAGAAGCCGTTTCAAAGCTATTTTACATGTTACATAAAATTAAAAGAAACTGAAAATATTTTACATGAAAACTTTGTATGGGATTTGACCCTCGAAAATTCGGAATTTATTGATAGATTTTACTCAGCCATGGGAATCAATTACAGTATGTATTACGAAATCATCGAAAAAGATTTACTAGCACAGATTTGCAAATATATTATCGGAGATCTAGAAATTCCTATAAAATCATGCGATAAATTGTTTGGAGAAGGAGTTTTGAGTCTACTCGAGTTTCCATCATCTGAAGACAAAAGAACGAAATCAAAAATCGTAAAACCTGAAGTAAGTAATGGAAAGTCTAAAGAAAAAATACGCAGAGGATCTAAGTCTAGTAAAATGTCAATTACAAAAGAATTACAGGTTGTAAAATCACCGAGCTCCCAAGAAGAATGTACTGAGGATGTCTTTCCTGTAGCAGCTACAGCTAGTGAAGAAAATGAAAAAATATCGGTTATAAGCCCCGAAGAGGTCAAAGTTATAGCTGGCGAAGAAGACTGGGACTATGCACAGCTGCCTATAGTAGATACAATAGGTGTGGCCCTAGCATCTTGTTGGGAAGAAATAGAAAAAACTTACATTTATGACATAAAACAATTACTGTTCTCTAAGAGATTACAAATGAATTGTCTGGTACCTTACAGCAGATTTGTTAAGGATAAAATGGAGCAGATCATAACACTGCCATCGCATAAACAAGACTTAGTAATGAAATTTCAAAAAGATTACAATGATTTTGAAATTGATTGGCAAAATATTGGTTTAACTAAGAACGAATGGCATTGTCGGGTTAAAGAGCTCCAAAATAAATTGTATCACATTTGCGACGTAAGGAAATTGTACGCCGAACAACAAAGACAATTACTTCTCTCCGATAATTGGGCTATGGAAGAATTAACCACAATGGCTAATACGTATATATCTTTTATGCAAATGGAATTAAACAGGTATAATCTCAATAGTTATTATCAAATATTATAGTGTAAATAATTTATATGGTTGCCGCAGGTCGAGTGACGAAACTTTAGAGTGCAAGCTTTAATGTTTTAATTAATGATTGTATTTAAAACAGTTTGAAACAACATTCTGTGGTTTTCTAAACTTATATCCTGGCTTAACACGTGGCAAAGTAAAGCGAGGCCTCTCTTTTGCCTATTATTATGTATCCCGAGTAGTTACGTAGTTATAGTAATATTTTTACTGAAAATTACGGTATGTTTTATTGCAGATCTATGTTGACGTTTCAAATTTTTCATGATTTTTATTATGCAATGTTGAAGAAACCACTTCCTTCAGATCGATTGTCTTCAAAAGATTTAACTAAAATAACGAGGGACACTGATGATGGTTCTGGTAAGAAAGGTGGCGAAGATAAAATATACAAACAGTTGAAAGCTAATCATCAAGAAATGTTGTCGAAAAACATACAAATTGATTACAGCAACAATCCATTTAATTTAATTATTGAGAACAATGTTAAATTTGCCATGAAAATTGTGAAAGACACGAATGATTCTTATAGGTCGTTAATTAGTAAAGAATACAATGAGATAGCTAAAGCGTCACAAGCTCCTAAGAAAAAGGAAGGAAATAATTCCGAGATGTCGATCAGTTCAGAGGAGATTTTCAAAGAGAACGCTTTGAAATGCATTGATGAATGGACCATGGGTATAAACGGAGAAATGTTTAGATTCAACTTGCGACTAACAGCTCTTCAGAATAAATGCCATCAAGATATGAAACTGTTCAATGATCATATTTATGAAACATTCACTGAAATACAAAACGATATCAATAAATATTATTTAGGTGAGATCAAGTCTGTTGATCGTTTATGCAAGTACCTTCAAATGGCCATTGAAAATGGTAGAAAAGTCCCGGAAAGTCTTACACTTGAGCACGATACGTTTGTTATTGACCACAATTTAATACAGTTTGCGAATTTAGACACGTTGACGGAAAAAGAAGAAATTGAAATAGTTTTTGGTGAGATGGACTTTAAAGTTGGTCAATTAGCAAGATTAAGATCACAATTTAAATTAGTTGCACCTACCGGTATAGTCTTTCAGCAAGCGTTCATTTACCTTTTGCAAGATTTCCTTTTGTTCGGTAAAGAATCCTGTGATGGCCCTATACTTCCACCGTTGTGGAATCGTTTAGATCCAGAACAGATACCGAAATTAGTGATGTTAATATTCGGCGATACAGTTCATGTTGATTGGAGAGATTTCTTGATATACTGTTTGAATATAAAATTTCCATCTGTAGAGGAGCTCCTAAGAATACGGAAACATTTCCGTTGTGCTGACAGCGAGTCTGCGGAGTTGCTCGACAGAGATAGTTTTTTAAAAAGCGAATTTTGGTTCGACATAGATTTTGATCTTGAAGATACACATGCCATATTAAGATTAAACTTAATTAAACACTATTTGTTTGAACTATTCGAAACCAGTGAGAACTTAATGAACTATCCTGCTTTCTTGTTGGCATTTTGTAAAAGTGCAGATCCCATTGAAGGTTTCGCTATGGCCATTTCGATGGCCGTCGGAAAGAAAGTCTGTTACAAATTAGAAGACTGTCAAGATGTTATTTGTAAATTAATAGAGCAGAAAAAATATAAAGACGAATGTTTAGCTTGTGCACATAAATGTACTGAACAATTTCTGACAACCCTCCTAACAAAAGTAGTTAATATTTGTGAAGGTACTACGATCGAAGAAATACAGTATACTGAACCATCTTTGAGCGATAAGAAAGGAAAGAAAACTAAGGTTGCTAAAGCAAAGAAGATTGAGAGTGCCCAAAGTGCTCGAGTGCCAAGGAGTCAAAAGAATTTGGTTAGTCAAAGTAAACTGGCACAGTCTACTACTGATATTAAAACTACGTTTATTTGTCCGCCCTGTCAAGAAGATGTTGAAGTTATCGAAGAGAAAACTCCAGAGATAAAAGAAGAAGAAGAAGTAGAATTGAAGCCCGAACCTTTGGAAGATCCTAACATTACATATGCCGTGAGCCAATCTGTTATATGGAATGTACTGCAAATTTGTTTGCCATGGCACTTTAAATTGATGCCAGAAAAAATGGTTAATCCAAATATAGAGCAAGTAAATGACTTGTTTAAGAAATTGGAGACCGACACAGACAATGGTGATATTTATATTAGCAAATTTGTTAGCGATACCAAAATATGCAAACTATTTCATAAAGTCAAAAAGTTTACTTTTGTAAATTTGACGGATTCGATTCGTAACGTTATTTAGGATTATTACTATAATATTAATGTTTTGTTTCCAATAAAAGTTCCAATTAAAGTTTTGTGTCCATAAAATTAAATGGTTTCACATAATACACAATACTAACTGCAATTTCTGGGACGTGAAGCGGAATATGCAAATCTCCGTGCGCAGATACCTTTTTTTTTAATAAATAAATTCCGTAAGGCATGAATAAGAACAACATTGCGATACACCGGTGTTCTAATCCCGCAGGCGCCTAGGCGTCTACTAATTTTTCTAGTGAAATACGTACTCAATAAATGTTCACAATTGACTTCCACGGTGAAGGAATAACATCGTGTAATCAAAATCAAACTCGCAAAATTATAATTTGCGTAATTACTGGTGGTAGGATCTCTTGTGAGTCTGCACGGGTAGGTACTACCACCCTGCCTATTTCTGCCGTGAAGCAGTAATGCGTTTCAATAAATAAATAAAAAATTACAAATACGTATGTATTAAATTAAAAAATCAGATAAATCACAGTTAAGTGTAAAAGCAGCATCACGAAATTATTTGATATTTTTTACTATGTTGAAATTTGACCACTTCGTTACTTTTACGTTAAAAATTAAAAGTTATCTTATATTTGAGAGTACCTATTACTAGAAATAGGTATTGTATAGGTAGGTAGAAATTGTCGTTTCGTTTTCTGAGTAGATATTGTTTTCTGAGTAGATACCGATTTCCGGACATTCCATTGTACTTCCGAACAACGAAGTATTTCGGGAATTTATTCCCGGAACAATTGTTATGTTAAGTGAACAGTGTGATGACTTTCACAAGTTATCTTTCGAAAAGTGAGAATGTGGTTTGATGGGTTAAGATCTTCCGATTGACTGTTTAGGAAAACTAAGATTTTACTGAATTTAAAGCTTAAAATAAAAATTTCTATGATAATTATGGTAAAGATAAAAATAAATGTTAATTCCGTTGACTAGAATTTTCCTGTATATTCGAATCACAATTTGAAACTTTTCTGCAAAAGAATGTTGTTTCGCCATATTATCAAGATGAAAACGAACCGAGGTCTGTATTAATATTATTATCTGTATCATTATCTGTATTAATCATTTAATCCGGGTGTTGACTGATTCATTTATTTTACAGAAAACGCTGCGCGATCGCGCTGACTTAAGTAATATGAGCTCAAATGTGTTGGAGTTATCCAGAATGACTTCATTTTCAGATAAATTTTGAAAGATTTTCATACGTATCATGTTTTAATAGGATGACCGCGGATACGACAGTGCTAATGCAACCTTAAAGCATTTATTTATTTATTTATTGCATATAATGTATTTTATGTTTTTTTATTATTATTTTTTATTGCCCTTGTTGGCAGACGAGTACAAGGCCCACCTGAAGGTAAGTGGTTACCGTCGCCCATGGACTCCAGCAATGCCAGGGGCAGAGCCAAGTCGCTGCCTACCTTTATTGGTGCGTGTGTTTGTTGGAATTCATGGCTCATATGCTCTTATTTTGTGGTTAGGGGCCTGGAGACATAACGACGTAAGCACCGCCAACCGTTCAAACTGGAACACATACTCATGATTACAGACTCACAAGATGCTCTACCAGTGTCAGTGGAACGCTACTGCCAGTGTCCGCTGATTCTTTTAGGCACCTTCTATGCAACCCACGGGAAGGGTCGATCTTGATTTTATTCTATGGACAACGGCACTTCCGATATACAAACACACGTTGATGTATTTTAGCTTTCCAACCTTATAAGTTCATATTCTTCTTTTCTTAAACACATACATATGTCTGCAAGAGCCCTTTCAATTTTGTAACATCAAATTTTGATTATACATAATTAGTAAGATATGTTTTGGATGTTCAACAAAGCACATCCTCCGTAAATCTTTTATTTTTGTTTCAAATTAATAAACGTGATTAATTTTAAATTTGAGCGAAAGAAAATCCCGAGTCTATTGCGATTGAATACCTGTAGCAACATTAAAAACATTGTTAGTTGTACATTTTTTATTTACAAACACACAACCCAAACAATAACCGTGTCATTTCGAAAATGTCTTTGTGTGCTTCATTCAATCGATAACTTTTAGACATGAATTTCATACCAGTGAGGAAGATTTTAAAGTGTCTAGGAATTTACAAAAGTAAGTGACTTTTTTATTAGTTATATTAAAAAAAAAAAATAACGAGCGGTGAAAAGCTATTTGGTTTAAGCGGCATTTCGCTTAGCACGCGACAATTATCTTTGTAATTAAAAGTCCGTTTTATTTGGTATCATTTGGCATCAACAGTTCGATGTTTATAATTGAATTTCAATTAAGTTTACTCTATTCAAATAGCTGAAAAAGTTTTTGACATCTCGACTTTGCCGAAGCGCACCCGAAGTGAGCCGATGTTTGACGAGTAGTTGCGGTCCACATTCACTAGGTGGCGCGCTTTCGCTTCATTTGTCGTGTCCCGATGCGACATAAAATATTTGATAGTAAACTTATATACAATTTTGTTTGTATTTTAGAAAGAGACAGAACGCCGATATCTCTACATAGCTATACAGATAGTGTGACGCAAAGAAATGAATATACAAATAGACGATGGATTATACTTCTATTCATAATATCCGGAATTTTACTTTTAATTTCACAATACAGCGCGTTACCAAAACAAACGTTTACTGAAGTACCTGAGAAAATAGTTAAGATTGATGAATTTGAATCAATTTATAAAGGTTACATAATATATTTTTAATAAAAAATGCAGTTGATATGAGTATGAGATTGAGTATGATTGTTAGCTTGCCTCAGCCGAAGGAGAAACAAACAGAAGTCTGGTCGTAGTTTGACTAGTTCTTGTAGAGATACGATCATTGTAATACTGTTGTGTTTATTTCTGTTGAGACCAAATGATATTATCTTTTTTTATGTTTGAGGGATTACTGGTGACCCAGACGCCTCTCCAGTTTCACCAGGGCAGGTGGGCGAGCAAAAGCTCAGCCAGGAGGGGTGGAATTTACTAACAGCTGCCCAAGCGCCTCCAAAGCAGACCGAACAACTCAAGGGCAGCTGCTTCGCGAATCAATAATCTACGATAATATCTAAAAACAGAGATAAACAAAAACAAACAATCTATGATTGTTGCTAACCTAAACGGCAGAGAAGCAAGCAGAAGTCACGTCACGTTTCGAATAGTTCTTGTACAGATAGATACCACAGACATCATTTTATTCTTGTGACCAGACAAAGTTACAGATGCGAATTAAGTAGTTACCACTGCCGATGGACATCGCAACGTCGCTATCTTTGAGAAATTGGGATCGAAGCTCTAATTTTATTGTATAACGGCTCTCCCACTCTATAAGCAGGAATCCATGATTGCTTTAGGGTAGAAATAGGTGGAAAGGTGCTACCCACTCAACGGTACCCGAGCAAATAAAAATAACACACCCGGTGGAGGATCTTACCTTTTTAGACACACCCACATAAACCTTCGTAAATATATAATGTAACCAAATAACGTTGACAACGTGTTTGCATTAAAATAGGCCATTAAAATAGGTAAGAAAAATGAGATTCTTGGAGAGTATAAGTACAGATTTTTTTTTTTTTTACAGACGATAATAATTATTCTGTTATTAGACGTATGGTTGAAGTGAATACGTCTAATGTCCTACAAGATATAATGTTATTATCCACAACTGTCAAAGATATACTGAGTAGGGATGAAAATATATTTGTACAAACAAAAAAAGCACAGGGTAAGCGCAATGTTAATAATCATTAGGTATTCTTTATATTAGTGGGTTGGCCATATATGCCGTAGAACTGACGATCGCTCGAGCAGATCCTGATCATGCAGGAGTCAGTCACCGTCGACGCCCTAGACACGTCCTTACGGATCCATCAGATCCAATAACCTTTGCATTAGACGCCTTCAGCTCTAACACTAGGAGCAGGCTTAGGGACCCCGGTAACCGTACTCGTCGAACTCGACAAAGAGTTCGCCGTGCAACCTAACCCATTCATCAGCCCGCTGAGTTTCTCGCCGGATCTTCTCAGCGGGTCGCGATTCCGATCCGGTAGTAGATTCATTCGCGAAGCAGCTACTCTTGAGCTGTTAGGTCTCCTTCGGAGGCGCTCGGGTAGCTGTTAGCAAATTCCACCCCTCCTGGCTGAGCCTTTGCTCGCCCACCTGTCCTGGTGAAGCTGGAAAGGCCTCCGGGCCACCAGTAATCTTTCAATCATAAAAAAAATAAAAAAAAAAAAAAAGGGTTCTCCAGTGGAGTCTGCGGAACAGAAAACGTAGTGTGGGACGACTGGCTAGGTGGTGCGATGATCTCCGAACGGTGGCCGGCAGGTTGAGGAGAGTTGACGACCGCGCTTAGTGGTGTGGATTGGGAGAGGCCTATGCCTAGTCTAGTCTAGTCTAGTCTAGCCTATGCCTATGTCCAGCAGTGGATGACTGTGGGCTGATGATGATGTTTATGATGATGATGATTCTTTAAATGCGACATAATACAGAAATTAAACACATTCCAGAATTAAGAAAACAAGAACAAACAAATGGACATTTGCCATTTTGCTTTCACAACATTCACTCGAATTGTAAGTACGGAATTGCTGTGGCTATACATTGCCGTTCAATAATTTTAACAAAAGTTAACATAAAACCTTTTGTCGGCATTCCAGACAGCGCGAATTTAGGATCCGAGGAACTTCACAAACAGCTCTCTGCTATCAGACCTGGTGGATATTACTACCCAAAAAATTGTCGTTCCAGGCATAAAGTGGCTATTCTGGTGCCGTACAGGTAGATCATGATATTGTAACGCGCTGGGGCTCGGGATAAATAAAATTCTACCGAATTACAAGTTCACACTGTATTCAACACTTAGAACACATAAAACACTACACTACACTTTAAAATTCTCAATTCGCTTCTTTCGCTTCGCTTCAGGTGATCCGTTCGCTTTTTCGCTTCGAGTAGTTCCGATTACTGACTGACTGCGT